CTTTGTTCTCCTAGCTACCCCACTGGCCCTAGCGCATATGGCCGATGCCTGCTTACTATGCCACGTAAACAGGCCCTTGCAATGGCCCTTTGTTGGTTTCTTCTGCAGCCCCTCCCTTACTTCTCCCCCACTGTGTATGTCTTGCTGCGACTGTCAGTCTAGTTGCTTGGTTCCCCCCCAGCCACGGATGCATGGAGGGAGCCGGAGCCAAGCAAGCCAATTGGTGCTGTCTCCCAGGCTAAGAATCATGAAATTCACAGGCAAAATCAGATAAATAAAATAAAAAGATATCCGCTGTGTCACAGGAGTGACAGTTGAGACCTGATTATCAGTCAGTAGCTCCCTGTCTAAAACTATCTGAAACTGCAACTACCAGTGCCACCTGGGTGCTTCCTACTCCCGTCTCTGCTGTAATTTCCCTTGGCACTCACCACTTGCTAATATGCCACTTATTTATGTGTCTCAGGACTGCCTCCCCTATAAGAATGTGGTCTCCAGAATGGCAGGAATTTCTGAATATGTTGTTTATTGCTGTAGGCACAGCACCTGGAACATTCTGAGCACACATCTGCCACATGAATGAATGAATGAATGAATGAATGAGTGGGTCTCGGCTCCTGTTCTTTCCACCCTGATTATTAGGTTCTTACTTTGATTCTTTGAGCTACCCAATATCTTCTCCATAAATTTCCTATTTGCTTAAGTTAGCAAGAGTTCCAGGGAGGACGCCTCAGCAAGAGGCAGCATTAATAGGAACAGGTATATTAACCATGTAACACCGCAGCCTGAAATCAGAACAGAATTGGAATACATAAGACCAAAACCCACATTAAATGCACGTATCACATATTCTTGTCTGCATTTGTGTTTTCAATTTCTCCAAGAGATAAGATGGTGTTTAAAGTCTCCTCAGAAGTATGATGTGACATAATTTAAGCTTATTTAAAACATAAAAGCTATAAGTTGCTTAACAAACAATATTATACAGGGAAAAAAATCCTAAATTACAAAAAAAAAACCCCAGACTGGGCACAGTGGCTCACGCCTGTAATCCCAGTACTTTTGGAGGCCGAGGCGGGCGGATCACCTGTGATCTGGAGTTCGAGACCGGCCTGACCAACATGGAGAAACCTGTCTCTACTAAAAATACAAAATTAGCCAGGCGTAATGGTGCATGCCTGTAATCCCAGCTACCTGGGAGACTGAGGCAGGAGAATTGCTTGAACCCGGGAGGCAGAGGTTGTGGTGAGCCAAGATTGCAAGATTGCGATTGCACCATTGCACTCCAGCCTGGGCAACAAGAGTGAAACAATGTCAAAAAAAAAAAAATTGTTTTCATATGCATTAACAATATGATCTATAAACCTATGAATTACATCAAGGAAAAAAATAAAACAAAACACCAACAAAAACCCAATATGGGCCAGGTGCAGTGGCTCACGCCTGTAATCCCAGAACTTTGGGAGGCCGAGGTGGGCGAAACACTTGAGGTCAGGAGTTCGAGACCAGCCTGACCAACATGGCAAAAACTTGTCTCTACTAAAAATACAAAAATTAGCCAGGCGTGGTGGTGCTTGCCTGTAGTCCCAGCTACTTGGGAGGCTGAGGCAGGAGAATCACTTGAACCCAGGAGGCAGAGGTTGCAGTGAGCTGAGATCGCACCACTGCACTCCAGCCTGGGCAACAGAGTGAGACTCTGTTTCAAAACAGAACGAAACAAAAAAGACCAACCCAATATGATCATTTCACACTTTCATCATGTCCCTGGCAGAGTGACACACAAATGCTTTCAGTGTAGCATCATCTGCCAACATTCCTGAAAGGAGAAAGGTTCTAACAATCTCTGTTTAGACCGTCTTAGTCTGTTCAAGCTGCTCTAACAAAATACTATAAACTGAGTAGCTTATAAATTGCAGAAATTTATTTCTCACAGTTCTGGAAGCTAAGAAGTTCAAGATCAAAACAGATTTGGTGTCTGGTGAGGGCCCAGTTTCTGATTCATAGCCAGCACCTTCTTTCGTGTCCTTCACATGGTGGAAGGAGTGAGGGATGTCTCTCCAGTTTCTTTTATAAAGGCACTAATACCATTCATGAGGGCTCCACTCTCATGACCCAATCACCTTCCAAAGGCCCCACCTCCTAATTCCATCACCTTTGTAGTGAAGATTTCAACACAAGAATTTTGGGGGAACACAAACATTCAGACCATAGCAAGCAAGGACCAGAGAGGGAGGGGGGATGGACACTGACTGATTCTATTTGAAATAAATTCAGGAAATGACTGGACTCACTAAAAATATTAAATCAACATTGTACTTCTCAGGACCAGAATATAACTCTTGTGCTATGTTCATTCATTTCAAAGGTTAATTTTCTAGTACATGAGCCAGAGAAGTTAAACAAGGAGTTGTCTATGAAGTTATATGACCAAGAAGACACCTCCTAGTACATCCTGGGAGATACTTTAAAGTAACAAACCTAGTCATCAACTTGGGAAAAAGCCCTAAATTATAACCAACACGCAGCATGTATGCATGTATTTCTAATATTATATATTCAACTTCTCTAACCATTAATCAAGCTGTACATAATGACTCTTTCTGACCACAGGAGCAAATACTCTCACTCAATGGGGACAGACCTCATAATCACACTACCACGGAGTTCATATGAGAGATTTCAGGGAAAAAATTAAAATTTTCTTTTTTTTTTTTAATCCCAAGACAGTCTCGCTCTGTCACCCAGGCTGGAGTGCAGTGACACAATCTTGGCTCACTGCAAGCTCCACCTCCCGGGTTCACGCCATTCTCCTGCCTCAGCCTCCCGTGTAGCTGGGACTACAGGTGCCCGCCACCATGCCTGGCTAATTTTTGTATATTTAGTAGAGACGGGGTTTCACCTTGTTAGCCAGAATGGTCTTGATCTCCTGACCCCGTGATCCGCCCGCCTCGGCCTCCCGAAGTGCTGGGATTACAGTTGTGAGCCACTGCGCCTGGCCAAAACGTTCATTTTTCAAACTATCACTGTGGTCCCAGGCTTTGTGGCAGAATCTGGTTTTATATTATTTAGCATTTACAGAGCACTTACATTTACCTCATTATCTAATCTCTGCTGCATTATAAGGAAGGCGGCTTGGTACAATTCCTTTTTGTAAGTTACATGCAGATAGGTAGTGTAAAAAGAAAACTGGTTTAGCGTCAATCTGACTTCCACGAAGGATGATTCTCTTCCATGACCAATTTGGAGTTCAGAGTGAGGGACAAGAGGCACAGTCAAATGCTCCTCTGAAAATGGCTGCTGAGAACGCATACTGCTCTGGGACTCCCTGACTGTCTTAAGGGAAAAAGATTCCATTCTCTTCCCACCCATTCTCAGTTCTTCTATTCAAAATAGTGTGAGTTGGTGCACAAAAATACTGAGAAGATGAAGTCTTTGTTTCAGACTTTTTAAAAGAGATAGATGGTCTTACTGTTTTGCCCAGGCTGGACTCTCCCGGGCCCAAGCAAGCCTTCCACCTCAGCTTCCAGAGTAGCTGGGACTACAAGCGTGGCCGCCACCTTTGGCTCCAGATTGTCCTTTAAGTATGCAGCGCTGGCTGGTGTCACATCTTCAGTCGGCATTTACCCTGTCCTGGAGCACAAAATCCAAGCAGAGCTGCTCCATCACACAAGGAAATAGAGGAAATCAGCAATTCCGTAAGAGTGATGGGGTGTGAAGAACTACTGTGGCTGGCATGGGGGGACTTGAGGTCCGAGGTTCTGTCACCAGCTCTCTTGAGAGGCAAGCAAGGGAGACATGAGGTCCAAGAGAGAGGATTGCGGGGGTCTCCCGCTGAAGGGTTGGACCAACTGATGCTTTTGTGGCAGGAGGCAGAGGACTAGAGAGACCAGGATGGGTGAAAACAGGAGAATATTTATTTTAAGGTGCGCATGGGCTCAGTGGATTCGCATCCAAAAAGTTGAGCCTTGAACAAAGACTGAGCAGGATTTGTATAAGCGAACTTACAGAAGCAAAACAAAGGCAGTTAATCATACAATGACAGGTCACACAATCTATAGCATAACTGATGACTTGGCATAACTTGTGGCCTTGCATAGCTGGTGGCCTTGTAGCTGCAATGAAAGAAAAAAACAAAAACTGGCTAAATACAGACATTCGTCCTTTTTTTTTTTTTTTTTTTTTTTTAACTTCACCCCTGCTCCGGAAGTGGGGTGTCTGGAGCCTATTCCTTTGGTTTTGACTTCTGGAACAGCGTTATCTTATAACTGTCCTTGAAGTGAGTTTGCTAAGAAAAAGAAAACTTGTTGTGTTTTTCTTTTTAACCCCTGCCTTGCCACATTCTGGGCCTTGGCTTTTACGTTTCTTGGAGTGAATGAATGCAGTACTTATTATTTTTAAATTTCTGCCTCACTTTAATAATGATAAAAGGCTGAATTTTTGCCAACTTGTCCATTTGTCACCATGTCGTGCTAAAGCACACTTGACACACCATAAAGCCTCAGATCAAACCTCAAAACCAAGCAGTTATGTTAAAAATAACATTGCCCTACAATCACTATCTGAAGGTTCTCACCCAGAGTAGTTCCCAGGCTGCTCTTCTTTGTCCCCCTTAAGACCATAAAGACACCGTTCTTTTTTGGTGGGACAGGTTGTCCAACACGAGCAGGACACTGCCTGCCCCATCCTGAAGCAACACTGTCACCGAGGTCACACCGAGAGGACAGCACAAGGACACAGGGCAAGACTAAGAAGAGCAAAGTGCAAACTTCTCTCATCTGGGCCAGGAGATGCGAGCTCCGGACCTGGCCAAGGCAGCCTGACCACACTGCACAGACCCCGGCTCTGGCTCCGTGCAGATCTGGGTTCCCCCAATGGGAGGTGCTGGGGCTCTCCAGGGAAATCGGGGTTCTCCGGGGATGTCAGGTTCCTTCAGGGGGGCCAGGGTTCCCTGGGATTCGGGGTTCTCCGGGGGGTGTCGGGGGCGCCTGCCACATACCCACCTTGACGCGCTTTCAGCAGCAGCGAGTTGGCCATGATGTTCTCGAGCTCCATGTTCTGGCGCCGCCGCCGCCGCCGCCGACGCCGCCGTCGCCGGCGGCGGATTCTGCGAGACCGATGAGACTGAGGAGGAAGAGACTGAGAAGGCGGAACAGGAGGAGACGCCGCCGCCCCCGCGCATAGCTCTCCGGGCGCCACCCACTCCCCGAGCCCCGGACACGATCCCGGGGGCTGCCCCGCCGCCGCCGCCACCACTGCCACCAGGGGCGCCGCCTCCGCCGCCTCCACCGGCCCTCACCAGCAGGGGAGCGGTCGGGGCGACGGGAGGGGGCAGCCCGACCGCGGCGGGTCCCAGCTGTCACCGCTGCCGCGCTATCGCCCCGGTTCTTCTCGGCCCCATCACCCTCGCCTCGCGCGCGCAGCTCCCTCCTCAGTGCCTGGTCCCCGGGCAGCCCCGAGTCAATGCCGTGGCCCACTTCGGACAGGGGCTCACTGGCAGGGGTGCCGCCGCGGCCGCCGCCCGCGACCCGCACCCGGGCGGGCTGGGCGCTAACGGCTTAGCTGAGGAGGCAGCGCCCCTCGCCGCTGCGCCCAGGGCACTACAGCTCCCAGAAGGCCCTGCGCCAAGAGTACACGGCGGGCCGCGGCGCGTGGCCTGCTGGGAGTTGTAGTCGCTGAGCCTGTCGGCGAGCGAGCCGAGGAGAAGCCTGCGGCCGCAGTGTTTACCTCTCGCGGGCTCGGAGGTGATGCGCTGTTCTCGCGAGACGAGGCCGGGAGGCGGTTCCGCTGCCCGGCACGTGTCTCGGGGTAGTGCGCGCCGCGTCTCTCTTCGGGTCTCGGCGCCTTGGGCGCAGCGGGGCGTGCGCCATGGGAAAGGCCAAGAAGGTCGGGGCGCGAAGGAAGACCTCTGGGGCGCCGGCGGGAGCGCGAGGGGGCCCGGCGAAGGCCAACTCCAATCCATTCGAGGTGAAAGTCAACAGGCAGAAGTTCCAGATCCTGGGCCGGAAGACGCGCCACGACGTGGGGCTGCCCGGGGTGTCTCGCGCGCGGGCCCTCAGGAAGGTAAGCGGGGGGCGCAGGGGGAGCCGGACGGCAGGATCTGGGCCCCATACTGCTCTCGGACCGGCTGCTCCTTCTCGGTGCGTCGGTTTCCTAGTTGAGCGGCGGAGGCCGTGACTTTGTAGTCACGGGACTGACTTTATAGTCCGAAAGCCTCTGCTGTTCTCTGAGCTGGAGTGACCTAGAAACTGTCGCCCTCCTGGAGACCCTGCACTCGTGTTATTTCGGTGACTCTTCCAACCGGGTCAGGAGGAGTCGGTCACTTCGGGCGGCGTCCTGGACAGCTGCTTTGTTAACCCTTCCGCGTTTACTTTGAGCTCCTCTGGTTTAGGGACGGTGGGTAGGGGCTGCGTGGGATGCTCCGTTTGATGTATGATCGGCTCTCCCCTGAAGCGCGTGACCTTGTTCCTTCGGAAGTAACTCTGTGGAAACTCATTGCTTCCTAGTTTTTTTAATATAATTTTTTTTAAATTTTCACTGAGGAACATACATTAGTAGGTTGGTGAAAAAATTAAGGCACAGAAAGGACAAATGAATTTCCTAAGGTCACACAACTGGTAAGGGCTGGGCATGCATTCACATTTCAATGTCTATAGAGCCTTCTTGCTACCCCGAGCGCTTCTGTTTGACCTCCCTTCTAGGTTCTGGGAGATAAAGGTAAACAAAACTTGCCCCTGCCTTCATGAGCTCCTGATCTCTATTCCATCACAGTGTGCAAGCTGGATGGTATTTAAATCAAATCAAATATCCTTACTGCACGAAGACGACAGCGTGTATAATAGGCAGGATAGACTTGCAGCTGACTTCGGTAAGAGTCGCTCATTACACACCCCAGGGCAGGGGTGGGAGAATAAGGTAGTGTGCTCCCTAGAATGGACACATTTGTCTTCACCACTGAAGCCTCAGTTTTCTCTTTTCTGAAGTAGAGATAATAATATACATCCTACGCCTTGTGGTGGTTTATGAGAATTAAGTAAGATAGCACATAGAGCACATAGCAAGTGTTCTCTAAATACTGTTATTCTTAGCCTTCTTGGCTTTTTGTTCGAGCCCCGCACAGTCCGGCTGTTTTCCTTGCTTCACCTCTTGCAACTCAGTGTGTCCAAAAGGTCTGCCTTACCTCCCAAAGTCTCTAAGGGGCGGGCTCAGGTTCACCACCCAAGTTATGTAGCCCAAATAGGACAGGTTGCTCAAACTTCTGGTATTGAGCAGATCCACCTCCCTGCTCTGTGCTGAAGGCCTGGGACGGGGGCGGGAATTGCTGCTCCTTTTTGGACCTGCAATGCTTGGCCCATGGTAGAAACAAATATTTGGAGAAATCAAAAGTGGAACCTGAGTGCCTTAGGAGATCACAGTCAGGAGAAAGTGTAACAGGAAAGTCCGAAAATTCTTCCTAGAGGGAGTTACAGCCAAGTTTCGCAAAGGGAATGAGCTGTTCATGGTCCCAGGGTGGGCAGAGGACACAGATGCAAAGGCACATTGTCCTGGTGTGGTGAGGTGTGGCACTTGCAGCTGTCTGAGGGACAGCAGGTCGTCCAGTTGACTCTGAGCTTGATAACACCTGTAGGGGCATGTGAGGCCAGCGTAGGAGGCCTGGCTCTTTTCGTGTGGGCTGGTCCCTTAGAAGTAAGTGGGCTATCTCAGTTGGCTTCTCCCCTCTGGTGGGTTGTAGCACTCTGAGGCACTCAAGTCTGGCAGGAGGAGGGCAGCCCCCAGGTGCCAGTCTCAGGACATTGCTTTATAGCTGTGCCTCAGTTTCCTTATTTCTGAAATAATTTATAAAATAAGTTATATGAATGTAGTTGTTAATCGGTAACTATGTTATTAATGTAGTTACTGGCCCCTTAAAGTTGGTCAGGCCTTGTGCCAAGCGGTTTACATTTAATCCTCACCTTTATAAGGGGGAAGTACTGTTATTATCCCTATTTTATGCCATAAATTCCATATGATGTCACAACATCTATATAGTTTAAGAAAGAAAGAGAATCAGAATAATGTAGAATAACTCATATTACCTATTTATAGCCTAAGGGCTCTTCTTCACTAAGATTTACCCATAGAATCATATTCCAGATAATGAGAACTAATGTTTTTAGAGGCCAGATGGCTGATGCCTGCCCCATCTACCTCTTTCCTGCTAGAAGCCAGTGACGCTCCCTCCCTCTGCAGGAACAGGCCTCAGAAGTCTTCTCAGTGTAGGCTGGGTTCAGTGGCTCGCGCCTGTAATCCTAGCACTTCGGGAGGCCGAGGCAGGCGGATTGTCTAAGCTCAGGAGTTTGAAACCAGCCTGGTCAACACCGTGAAACCCTGTCTCTACTAAAAATACAAAAAAATTAGCCGGGCATGGTGGCATGCCCCTGTAATCACAGCTACTTGGGAGGCTGAGGCAGGAGAATTGCTTCAACCCAGGAGGCAGAGGTTGCAGCGAGCCGAGATTGCGCCACTGCACTCAAGCCTGGATGACAGAGCGAGACTCCATCTACAAAAAAAATATGTATATATATATCAGTGTAGCATGTAAGCAGCCTCTGTCCATACAGACTTCATCAAGCAGTACAGGCCAGCACATGTAATGTGCTCCCATCTGATTGCCAGCTAGACCTTGTGATTTAAATAGTGAGATGTTTTACTTTTTTTTTTTTTGAGACAGAGTCTCGCTCTGTCACCCAGGCTGGAGTGCAGTGGCGCAGTCTCAGCTCACTGCAAGCTCCGCTTCCCAGGTTCACGCCATTCTCCTGCCTCAGCCTCCCGAGTAGCTGGGACTACAGGCACCCACCACCGTGCCCAGCTAATCTTTTTGTATTTTTAGTAGAGACAGGGTTTCACCGTGTTAGCCAGGATGGTCTCGATCTCCTGACCTCGTGATGCGCCTGCCTCAGCCTCCCAGAGTGCTGGGATTACAGGCGTGAGCCACCACACCTGGCCCCAAAAGTGTTTCTAACAAACATTGTTTAGCACTGCCATGGTAGGAAGTTACTAAGGATTAATCATTCAGCATGTCTCAGTTGAAAGAAATTGGTTTTTGAAACATTCTTGAAGAAAATGACGAAAATTGCCTTTGGAAGTATTTATTGAACTAATGGATGGTTTCCTACTCTTCAGGCAGCAGAGGGGTTTTTCATGCATTTTAAATGTAATAATAGCATTTTCACATTTCAAAGTGAGATAAGAGAAATGGTTTTTTTACTTCCTTTTCTCCTGTCCACATGATGAATACTGCGGTTGACTTCTCCAGATGGAATGTGCTGTAAATGGGAAGGAGGGCCACGGTGTGCTTCTGTCCCTGCTGGAGCATCTTCTGCTCTTGCCCAGCTGCTTCTTAACCCCTTCCACTCTCCTCTCCTCCTCTTCCAGCTCCTGGTTTTGACCTTAAATGTGGGTTTCTTAGCCTTTAAGTTCATTTCCGACCCTGGGGAAGTGACCTATGTCTGGAGCAAAATCTGGCCTGTCCCCTCCTGAAACAGAACTTGGAACCAGAGTGGCAGTGACCAAGTCACCACATGCGCCCTCCCTCCTGCCCCACGCTCACATTCCTTCAAAGTGACTTCACAAATTAGAGGAATCCCTGAAGAAGAAAAGGAACACTTAGGTCTGGGGTTAGATCAGAGGTTTCGAGTGTCTGCCGAGGCACCAATTTGTGGTGGGTTTGTAAAACCACTGAATTGGATCATTCCAAGGGCCTTCCATTGCGTCAAGATTTTGCCTTGGTGCCATTTCCTTTCGGAATTGCTGTGTAAACACCACTGTAATGGCAGTTCCTTAGCAAACAGAAGTTCCGCAGCAGAAAAGAGTTTGCAGTGTGGCCATCTCGGGTTGCAGAGGCCCCTCATTCCTCACTCACCTCTGTCCTCTCTCTGCTTTAGGGAATTCAACCTCCAGGACAGCCAACTTTGAATACTATTAAACTTGGTCTTTTTTTGTTGCTGCTGGGAAAATGACCGAATTATTTGATACTTGCTCTCTGTATTTAAAATATTGCTCCTCTTGGTTTTCCGAAGGTGAAGCCCCTAAACCATGAGCTCGCTAACTTGTTTATGGCCTTGTGTCTAGTGTGAACCCACAACTGTACATTTCTTAGGAGTACCTCTGATGGGAAATAGTACCCTCCTCCATGATGGAAAGAGTCTAAACCCATTTCCACTTTTCCAGATGATTCTGGCGTAAAATGCACACATCCTTAAACCTTAAGGCGGCTGTTATGGCTGAGGGAGCCGTTCATGCCTTGAGCTTGGCTAGTGTGCTTTTGTTTACCCTTCCTTTTGGCACCGATAGACTCTAAAGAGGAAAAGAAAGTGATCGCCCCGTTATCACTGAGAGTTGTTTGCTCTTCTCAGAATTCTGTCACTAGTAGAGAAAGCCTATCATGGGTGAAAGCAGCTTGTGTGTGAACTTTGACATCACTGCATAGCCCTGAACTTTAAAGTATGCACTGTTCTGATGTCCCCTGTAGTGGAAATCACAAGAGTTTTTTGTGAGATTGTTTTCTGACCTGTTTTCCAGCGTACACAGACTCTACTAAAGGAGTACAAAGAAAGGGATAAGTCCAATGTCTTCAGAGATAAACGCTTCGGAGAATACAACAGCAGCATGAGCCCCGAGGAGAAGATGATGAAGAGGTTTGCTCTGGAACAGCAGGTATGGAAAGAAACTGGAGGAGGGTTTTTGCTGTACATTGCACAGGGAAGTCAAGCCCAAGGAGAAGGCGGATTCTGCACGTTCTGCCTGTTCCTGGGCACTTGGAAGGTCCAGGGGATAGCCCTTGATTCCTGTGCCTTATCTGGCGAGGCCAAAGGAGAAGCAGCTTCTTCTGCACATGTTAGCTGAATGGATAAATCCCTTAACTCCACTACATGGCAGCAGTGTGCACAGGAGTTCTCAGCTGAGCTGCTGCCTTCAGCTCCATTGGGTGGAGAGCAAGTGGCCTGAGCAGCATTGCTAGAGTGGAAACTGGGCCCTGGGCTTATTTAAGAATTGCCCTTCATGAGGCCGGGCGTGGTGGTTCGTGCCTGTAATCCCAGCACTTTGGGAGGCTGAGGCAGGTGGATCACGAGGTCAGGAGATCAAGACCATCCTGGCCAACATGATGAAACCCCGTCTCTACTAAAAATACAAAAATTAGCCAGGCATGGAGGCTGAGGCAGGAGAATTGCTTGAACCAGGGAGTCAGAGGTTGCAGTGAGCCCAATTCACGCCACTGCACTCCAGCCTGGGCAACAGAGCGAGACTCCATCTCAAAAAAAAAAAAGAATTCCCCTCCATGAGTTCCGTTTCTGTCTAAATAATGAATCATTGCTTAGTTGACCCAGAATACTCTTTAAGGCTGCTTAGGATTCATTGTCATATTTCAAATATAATGGAAATATATATATATATATATCTTTTTTTTTTTTTTTTTTTGCTGTGAAATGGAAGTGGTAATTTTAGGAAACCTTTTTTTTCTCTTCTGTCAGCGACATCATGAGAAAAAAAGCATCTACAATCTAAATGAAGATGAAGAATTGACTCATTATGGCCAGTCTTTGGCAGACATCGAGAAGCATAATGACATTGTGGACAGTGACAGCGATGCTGAGGATCGAGGAGCGTTGTCTGGTGAGGCTGGGGTGCCCTGCACGGGCCTGTGGGCATGGAGCCAGGGCGAGTCTGTTCCTTGTTGGACCTTCTGCTCTTAGAGACTAGAGAAAGTTATTGCATGAAAGTTTTACTGATGATTAACCTCTTCACAAGTTTCGCAGGTGACAGTTTTTTTTTTTTTTTTTTTTTTTTTTTTTAAGAAAAAAGCTGTGGGGAGAACCCACGTCACTGACTCCTGGTGGCTCACTGAATGCACTACTTTGCTCACCCTACTTTATCAATCCCAGCCTAATATTTGTACCAGTGGTGTTGATGGAGTTCCTTTAGCCTGTACCTACTGTGGAATTATGGCAGTTTGAGGAAAATCATATTGAGCCTCGTATCTGAGGATAACAACGTGAAACAGATAAATTTTGGCCTTAAATAATGTTAACAGAGTCTAAGATTCAGTTCAGGACTGTCTTGAACCCTGTGTATAAGGTTGCAGTCATGACATCAATTACTTGACATTTCTTGTAAGTTAGAGTAGGTCCCATTTTCCGGTGTCTTCAGAACAAAGGTGTACAAATCTAAAACTGACTCTCAAAGCTGTGTCTTGTTAGTGTGTGAAAGTTAAGGCGTTAAAGCCTGGGGCTGCCTTCTGATATTTGGCTAATCCAAGGGGCAAAAGGCTTGGGAGTTAGGGCAGCAAGCATGTGGTGCAGAACCTGCCATCTGCGGCACACCAGGAGGAGACCCCGCCACTGCTCGGCTTCACAGGCGTGAAGAGAATGGCCAGTTATTTTAACCTCCGTGCCTTTCTCTTTGCTCTTTTCATTGTTCAAGACTTCTTGTGGACCCTTAGCTGGAAAACGCGTTCCCTGGGGAGATCCTAATTCCCTGAGAGTGGAGGTAACTGCCTTGGTGTGAGTTGGGCGAGTGGCATTCCCCTTATTGCCAGGAGGCGCTGTGGTGCGCCCATGACTTGAGGAGGCGCCGTGGTGCGTCAGGGACTAGAGGAGGCAGCGTGGTGCCGCTGCTGACTAGAGGAGGCGCTGTGGTGCCGCTGCTGACTAGGGGAGGCGCCGTGGTGCGCCCGTGGCTAGGGGAGGCGCTGTGGTGCGCCGCTGACTAGAGCAGAAGTAGGACTCAGTTTCTCCGAGTAACAGGTCCTGGGAATTGAGCTATTCATTCCTGATTTCCTATCCTTTGATTTTGATTATGAGCTCACCAAAACCCAGGTAATTTTTATAAAAGAAAAGCCTCTTACATGTGAAAATAAATACACTGAATTTGTCATGAGGAGACAAATTCTGTTTTGTTCAACTGTCACATGGTCTGTTCTCTTAGATTAGGAGAATTTCATCTTAAAAACCACCCCATGAGCACTTTACCGCTGCGGAAGCTGAGACTAAGGACAAGAGTTGGTGGTACTTGCTCAGGCTTGGTAACCAGAGGGGGCGGGGCTTCAATTCCCAGGTAGCCTGACTCCTAAATTGTAGCTGCTGTGTGCTGTTTTACACTGAATACAGTCATTTCACCTACTGTAAAATATACTGTTAGGACTTCAAAATAAATAGATACAGAAAAAATCTTTCTAACCAAATCCTAATACAAACTCATTAAGGGAGGATTTCCTTTTTTTTTTTAATAATCCTTTTCTGAATCTTTTATATAATTAATACAAGCTTATTAGTTGGCATTTTGCAAATCTTTTAAGAAACTGTTATGATGGTACACGTATGCAGCCATAAAAAAGAATGAGATCATGTCTTTTGTGGGAACGTGGATGGAACTGGAGGCCATCCATCATCCTTAGCAAACTAACTCAGGAACAGAAAACCAAATACCACACTTTCTCACTTGTAAGTGGGGGCTAAATGATGAGAACTCTTGAACACAAAGAAGGAAACAGCAGGCATGGGGATCTAGAGAGGGAGGAAAAGGAGCAGAGAAGATCACCGTTGGACTTAGTACCTGGGTGATGAAATGATCTGTACAACAAACCCCCGTGACACGAGTTTACCTGTGTAACAAACCTTCATATGTGCCCCCAAACCTAAAATAAAAGTTAAAAAAAAAAAAATAGCGTGATCGACCTTGGATTACTAGGGTACTAAATTGTGTTTTCTGATATGCTTAGTTTTCCAGGAAGGAAATCATTCGTTTCTGGAAATCAGGAATCATTCATTCATTCACTTACCAATACTGGTTTATGTGTCAGGCACTGTTCTCGGTTCCAGAGAAATGGCAGTGTCAAAACAGAAAGCCATGCCCTCCTTCAGCTCACATTTTATGGGGAGACCCAAACATTAAACAAATGTGTCACCAAATTATGCTGTCTGATCAAAGGTGGAAGTGCTGTGGAGGAAAAAGCAGGAAAGGGCATCACGTGCCATTGAGGCGTCTTGTTCAGCCTCACTGGAGTGTGGTAGCATGACCACAGCTCACTGCAGCCTTGGCTTCCTGGGCTCAAGCAATCCTCCCATCTCAGCCTCCAGAGTAGCTGGGACTACGGGTGTGCGCTACCATGCCTGACCAAGATTTTGGCTTTTACTTGAGAAAAGGAGTCTGGGTGTTGGAGCCAAGGAATCGCATAGTGTGACAAGACAAGGCCAATGGGATTTCCCAGCAAACTGGATACAGGTGTGGGAGACGGGCATCAAGGACGACTCCAAGGGTGTGTGGCCTAAGCACCTGGGAAGATAGAATTGCCATTTGTTGCGATGAGAAGACTGGGATAGATGGGTTTGGGGGAGTTTGCAATGCCCGCTAGACATCCACGGTGCGGTGCTGGAGGTGCAGTCGAGTTCAGGGAGAATGCAGGCTGGAGACAGGAACTGGATGCTGTCAGCACAGAGGCTGACTGAGGCTGCCAAGGGAATATGAGTAGTTAGAGGACAGACAGCAGGAACTGCGACCTGAAGAGTTGGAGAAGAGGAGACAGTGAGGCCCTGGCGGCAGGGTTGGGCTAGAAGCCAAGAAGAGAAAGCTTTTCTAGAACGAGTGGTGAATGTGTTGAGCACTGCTGGTAGTGAGAGGAAGACTGAGAACTGACCCATCACTCAGGCAAGACGGCATTTCAGAGGAGACGCAGGGGAGAGTCAGAGAGGGATGAAGAGAAACGAGAGAGAGGGGGTTGAGAAGGGAGTGGAGGTGGGGAGCCCAGGCAGGCACCAGGCTAGGGCCCTGCTGGTCAGGGAGCTGCTGGCATGCTGGAGGCCCAAGCTGGAGAAACCATCTTAACATTTGTTTCTGTTATGATGTGGGCCTTTGGATATATCATTTCCCATCTGAGCCTCTTTTTCATTTGAGAAATTGGATTTTTAAAGGTTTCTTTTATTCCAAATGTGATGTTTCCTACAATGTTTAATTTCTCTTCTGCCCTAGTGAGTAGGGCAGACTGAAGATCGGTGGCCCTGGTAGATGATTCCTGCTCCTGCCCTTAGCTCAGGGCTTTGGAGTCTCTAGGCCCTGCCCAGGGAGCTGGGAGGGACACAGACTGTGCCACTGATCCTAGGCGACACCCCCACCAAGACCCTGGAGCCAGCTTGCTCTGGGCTTGCCAGTCTTCACTAGAACCAGCACCATCAAAAATAGGTGCTCGGTGTTTCCAGCCAGTTGGGTTATAGCCAGTTGGGAGTGTAATGGGTCTGGGTTTTCTCAGAGTGGCTTACTTTGGGTATTTCTCAAGTGCCATTGTGCCTGTGGTCTCAGGCCAGGCTGTTGCGTGTGAGCATTTTTTTCTCAAATATGGAATTTTCCAGAGCACTGTGGGGGAAGCGCTGGCAGAGTGCTAAGGAAACGCTTCCCATGCCAGGGCTGGGCTTCACTGGGGTTTCTGCCTTTCGCCCCAGCTGAGCTGACCGCTGCCCACTTCGGAGGCGGCGGCGGGCTCCTGCACAAGAAGACTCAACAGGAAGACGAGGAGCAGGGGAAAGCCAAGTCCCGGAAGGAGCTGATTGAAGAGCTCATTGCCAAGTCTAAGCAAGAGAAGGTGGGTTAGCCAGTGTTCTTGACCGTCTTCTCCATGGTAAGACAGTCTCACCAAGATGTGTTCGAGCTTTTTTCCCTGTACATTTTTAGGCTGTGTTTAATCTTTTATATGAGTTTAATAAAAGCATTTATTGTGAATAGGAATTTTAAAAATCACATAAAGCATATACCTCTGACAAGTTTTGGTTCTTTTGCCTTTTTTTGGTTTAAGTTTTGTTTTATTTTGAGATGTGGTCTCTGTTGCCCGGGCTGGAGTACAGTGGCACGATCAAAGCTCACTGTGGCCTCAAACTCCTGGGCTCAAGGATCCAGTGATCCTCCCACCTCAGCTCCTCTAGCAGTTAGGGGGCACCACCATGTCCAGCTAATTATTGTTTTATGTTTTGTGGAGATGGGGATCATGCTGTGTCAACCAGGCTGGTCTCAAACTCCTGGCCTCAAGCAGTCCTCCCACCTTGGCCTAGTTGGAAAGCACAAGGTGAGCCACCGCACCTGGCACGGATGGGTTTTTTGTTGTTGCTGGTTTTAGTATCTGACGTGTACCCAAAAAATCACTTTTTTATTCATTTGCCATGAACTGCTCAGAGTATCTAAATTAATGGTTTATGGCAGGAAATGATTTCCATCTGATGAGATTTTGTAGCTTTGCATTTAAAATACTAATTTCTCTTGGCCTCTTTTCTCTGTTGAAACGTTTGGTGCTGACTGAGTGGTCACTGTATGTGTCCTTGGCACTGACATTGGGCCTCTGGGTTGAAGTCCAATAGTAATGATATGTGGTGTGTGTCTGTTATTTTTTCCCCAGAGGGAGAGACAAGCTCAACGAGAAGATGCCCTCGAGCTCACAGAGAAGCTAGACCAAGACTGGAAAGAAATTCAGACTCTCCTGTCCCACAAAACTCCCAAGTCAGAGAACAGAGATAAAAAGGAGAAACCCAAGGTGGGAGCCAAGTGGCTGAAACAAACTCTTCACTTACTGAACCTGGCTGACTGTCCAGAGAAAGGGCTGTTTCCTTCCGGACAAGTTTCTGTTGAACATTGATACTGAATTAGCTGCTATGTGTAATCTTGGGGTGGAAGTAGATTCAGTTACTTGAGTCTCTATTCCAAGTGAATTCAACTGAAGAAAGGGGTGTTTCTGGATGGAAGAAGTACTTCAGGGTGGACACATCAGAACAGGTGTCTGACTTCCCTGTGGCGCATTTGTCTGTTGATACATAATATATACACTTAATATACATTTACTTACTTTTCCTCTATAAACAGTGCTTATTTCCTACTGCATTCTCTTTAGTCTAAACTGTTGGAAAATGCATTTGTTTAAGAAACTGGGTTCTCAAAGAGAAATCTAGATTTTGCCAGATTAGTGTCATGTGGTCATCTGTACATCTTTGTGGGTCACTCTTGCTATTACTGATATTTTACTTAATTTCCCATGTTTAGGGCGTAATGCCTGGATAAGTAGTGTTTTTGTTGTTGTTTGAGACTGAGTCTCGCTGTGTCACCCAGGCTGGAGTGTAGTGGTGCAATCTTGGCTCGCTGCAACCTCCACCTCCCGGGTTCAAGCGATTCTCTTGCTTCGGCCTCCCAAAGTGCTGAGATTACAGGCGTGAGCCACTGCGCCCAGCCTGTTTTTGTTAAAGCAGATGTATTCTGAGAAGAATTTTTCTAGGGGTAAACAAATTCTTTGTGACCAAATGTCCACTGATCTTGCAATCCTCAAGGCTGATGAGAACAGTTTTCTCTCTCGAAGAAAAGATGTAGATGTGGCTTAACTACTTCAATAACATGCAGCCATTACTAGAATGTGCCAGGAAGCTAGATCTTTTCTTTTTGTAAAATAAGAAATATATTTTTAAAATGAAAAATTTCTTCTTTCTGCCTTAGCCCGATGCGTATGACATGATGGTTCGTGAACTTGGCTTTGAAATGAAGGCACAGCCCTCTAACCGGATGAAGACGGAGGCAGAATTGGCAAAGGAAGAGCAGGAGCGCCTCAAGAAGCTGGAGGTAGGGTGGCAGCACCTCAAGAGCAGGGCTGTGCTGCTGTCCATCCACAGCCCCTTCTGCTCCATTTTGCACGATGGGCTGAAGAGAATACTCTGTTTGATCAGTGGAATATTTTAGTTTATAAAACTTTAAATGGAGTCTATAAACTCCATTTAAAGTTTATATTTATTCATGATTACCTTTTTTTTTCTTTTTTTTTTGAGACGGAGTTTCACTCTGTCCCCCAGGCTGGAGTGCAGTGGCGCGATCTCGGCTCACTGCAAGCTCCGCCTCCCGGGTTCACTCCATTCTCCTGCCTCAGCCTCCTGAGTAGCTGGGACCACAGGCATGTGCCACTATACCCGGCTAATTTTTTTGTATTTTTAGTAGAGATGGGGTTTCACCATGTTAGCCAGGATGGTCTCAATCTCCTGAACTCGTAATCTGCCCACCTTGGCCTCCCAAAGTGCTGGGATTACAGGCGTGAGCCACCGCACCCGACATGAATAACTTTTAATTTCTGATCATAAAAGCAAAAACAAAATAAAATGCAAATAATACCCAAGTACAGCAAATTAAAAGTGGACTTTTTATTTATTTTTTTTGAGACGGAGTTTCACTCTGTTGCCGAGGCTGGAGTGCAATAGTGTGATCTTGGCTCACTACAACCTCCGCCTCCCAGGTTCAAGCAATTGACCTACCTCAGCCTCCTGAGTACCTGACAGTACAGCTGCCCCCACCACGCCCAGCTAATTTTTGTATTTTTAGTAGAGATGGGATTTCACTATGTTGGCCAGGCTGGTCTCAAACTCCTGACCTCAAGCGATCCACCTATCTTGGCCTCCCAAAGTGCTGAGATTACAGGCATGAGCCACTGTGCCCAGCCAAAAATGGACATTCTTTAATAATTACTCTATCCCAAAACATCTACTAACAATGTAATGAGTATATTGTAAGCTTTTTTTTTAAATGCAGTTTTAAAAAATTCATTGCGTTAAAACAAAAACGAAGTAAAGACACTTCTACAGCTGGCTGAGTTTTTTTCGTTTGTTTTTTGTTGTTGTTTGTTTTGTTTTCCAAGGCAGTCTTGCTCTGTCACCCAGGCTGGAGCACAGTGGCACGATCTCAGCTCACTGCAACTTCTACCTCCCAGGTTCAAGCAATTCTCCTGCCTCAGCCTCCCAAGTAGCTGGGATTACAGGCACCTGCCACCACACCCGGCTAATTTTTGTATTTTTAGTAGAGACAGGGTTTCATCATGTTGGCCAGGCTGGTCTTGAACTCCGGACCTCAGGTGATCCACCTACCTTGGCCTCCCAAAGTTCTGGGATTACAGGCGTGAGCCACTGCACCCAACCACATTTGTTTTTTTTTTAAACAAGGTCTCTGTTGCCGTGACTGGAGTGTAGTGGCATGATCACAGCTTACTGCAGCCTCGACCTCCCAGGCTCAGGCAGTCCTTCTGCCTCTGCCTTGCAGGTAGCTGGGACCACAGACTCACACCACTATGCCCAGCTAATTTTTTTTTTTTTTTTGAGATGGAGTCTCACTCTCTTGCCCAGCTAGAGTACAATGACACAATCTTGGCTCACTGCAAACTCCACCTCCTGGGTTCAAGTGATTCTCCTGCCTCAGCCTCCTGAATAGCTGGGATTACAGGCGCCTGACACCATGCCCAGCTAATTTTTGTATTTTTAGTAGAGACAGGATTTTGCCGTGTTGGCCAGGTGGTCTTGAACTCCTGACCTCAGGTGATCCATTTACTTCAGCTTCCCAAAGTGCTAGGATTACAGGTGTGAGCCACTGCGCCTGGCCCCAGCTAATTTTTAAAAATTGTTTGTATAGATGAGCATCTCCTTATGTTGCCTCGGCTGTTCTCAAACTCCTGGGCTCAGCTGATCCTCCCACCGCGGCCTCCCACAGTGCTGGGGTTACAGGCATGAGCTGCCATCACACCTGGCTCAGCTGGCTGTTTTGACGTAACCACATCACTAGCTTCTTCCCATGTCCAGTGTGTGGTCAAATAGTGGAGGCCCTGGAGCTGCTTGCTCTTGGCGTTCTGGCTCCTCTTCTCTCGGTGCAGGGGGTGATGAGTTCCAGTCGGGGCTGGCCAGCAGAATTTTGCTGTGAAGACCTTAGAATAATAGGCTTGCCTGGTGACTGGAGAGTATTGGCCACAAAGTTTGAACAGTTGATTTTGTTAAATGAGGAATGTACTGCTTAGCAAGTATTTGCATGCCTGATTGAAAACTGCAGGCAGAAAGCCAGCTGGATGCACCAGCCTCACAGCTGGGAGGACCGTAGGCCCAGCCCGCTGCCCAGGGCAGGACTGCACGCCTCCTCACCAAGTGTTGGAGGAGTGTGCTCTAAGACATCTCATTTCTTCCTGCTCAGGCTGAGAGGCTTCGAAGAATGCTTGGAAAGGATGAGGATGAAAATGTGAAGAAACCAAAACATATATCAGCAGATGATCTGAATGATGGCTTCGTGCTAGATAAAGATGACAGGCGTTTGCTTTCCTACAAAGTAAGATATTTGCCTTCATTTTCTCTCTTTTTTTTCTAATTTAAAAACTTTTTTGGTATTCATTTTAGGAATTTATTACAGTTGGGAATTTTAAATCTTTTTAACCAGTTTCTCTAAAGTTCTTTATCTGGGTGTTCATGGTATATCAAGTATCAAAACTTTAGAGAGGAGACTTTAATAGTGTGTGCATTCGCTTGCTCATGCGCTCTCTCTCTCTCTCTCTCTCTCTCTCTCAAAGAAATACAGATAAAACTGATTACTTGGTTAACATCAACTACTTCTGTTAATAACGGCATGATTCTGTCTACATGACCTCAGCGTACTATCGAGGGAGCTAACTGAAGGCTAGAGTTGTGAATTTTCTCTGAGTGATGTCATTGAGTTTCTGTGACTGGTGTAGTTTTTAATTCACGAACTTTATAAATTGATACCCTTTTCTCATTTTAAGAGTGTATCAATCAGGGTCCAGGGAAGCAAAATAGGCAGGACAGGTTTCAAGCAGAAGAGGTCCACACCGGAAAATGGATACTGATAAAAACACTAGGTTACCTGGAGGAGCAGAAGGTACAGTCCTCCCAAACCAGTGGTGGGTGCTGTAGACACTCCCAGTGCTCAAGCCCACGGCCACTGAACACCTTCCAAATCCTGATCCCATGCCGCTCCCTAGCAGAACCTGAACCTGGCCCAGCATCCTGCAGCAGGGTTCGCTGGGAGCTTGTAGCTCCTATGGCTCAAATAGCCTAGCAGCGGGTGGTGGGCAGGAGGCCTAATGCCAGTGGGCAAATGGAGCACACAGGTTTGTGTTCCTTGCAACCACATAGGAAGCACTGATGTGTGCTGCCTCTTGATGTGGCTGCGAGATGGTCCAGTGGTTGTCTCAGCCTGTCCTGATGCTCTGTGGTTTCCACGCTCTTGGTAGGATGGAAAGATGAATGTCGAGGAAGATGGCCAGGAAGAGCAAAGCAAGGAAGCCAGTGACCCTGAGAGCAACGAGGAAGAAGGTGACAGTTCAGGCAGGGAGGACACAGAGGAGAGTGATAGTCCAGATAGCCACTCGGACCTGGAATCCAACGTAGAGAGCGAGGAAGAAAACGAGAAACCAGCAAAAGAGCAGCGGCAGACTCCTGGGAGAGGGCCGACGAGCGGCAAGGGAAGAGCTGGAAAAGCTGCCGGAGACGAGCTGCCCTACACGTTCGCAGGTGGGCAAGTGCGTGGGTTTCCTCAGGTTCTCGGATAACCTTTATGACCTGGCCATAGCTGTGTGTGTTTGTCTCGCGCCCAGGAGGTGCATTTGTGGAGTGGGGACCAAGGATGCCCTTGGGAGTGCGTGGACACACCCCGTGTCTGCTGATCCAGGTCTTAGAGCGAGTGGTCATGTTAGTTTGTCACCGTGGTTCTGTGGGCCGGCCCCAGATGGGCCAGACGCATCTCTCTGTAGTGGTACCTTCACCTCCCTTGTAGCATACTGTCAGCCTCTTGTGGCGGACCAGAGGGGCAGGGCTGGGGAGGTGGGTAAGCATCTGTGAGAAGGCTGCCATGTTCCCACCTGGGCCTCCTGCTTGGCCACGTAACATTTTAGATGGAATATACAGTGTTGTTTTGTCTAGTATCTGGAGAAAAACTGTCCAGGCCAGGAGCATGGCTGACGCCTGTGATCCCAACAGTTTGGGAGGCCAAGGTGGGTGGGTCACTTGAGCCTTGGAATTTGAGACCAGCCTGGGCAACGTTGCAAAACCTCATTTCTACCAAAAATATTAAAAATAAGCCTGGTGCAATGGCTTGTGCCTGTGTTCCCAGCTACTCAAGAGGCTGTGGTGGGAGGATCACTTGAGCCTGGGAGGCTGAGGTTGCAGTGAGCCGCGATCACACCACTGCACTCCAGCCTGGGTAACAGAGCAGGACCCTGTCTCAAAAAAAAAGAAAAAAATGGTCGGGTTCTAGTAAGCAATGCCGAATTGTCCTGTGCCTGCAGGATGCTTCCAGAGGAGAAGCTAGTGGTGAAGCTGGCCTCTGTGATGTGCCCTCTGGTGGCAAGAGTCTCATGAGCTGACAGTGCTTGGCTCGTAGTGGCTCCTTCCAGGTCTTTCTGAAGTGGTCTGGGCAGTAAACCCAGCGCCCTGCCACCGAGATGCTCTGAAACTGTGGGTATTTTAGCAAATTCCTAATAGAGGAAAGGTGGGAGGGCATTTCCTTATTAGCGTGTTCCCAGGTACATGATCGCTCCTGACAGCCCAGGTCAGGATGGCTGATACCCCTCCAGATGTGCCAGAGCAAAAGCTGGTGGGTTTGTTGTGATTGTGAAGTAGAATAGTTATATGAAATTACCTCTATGTTAGCAGACATGTAAGTAATTCTCATTTTAAATATTAAATGTGGGCCAGGTACGGTGGCTCATGCCTGTAATCCCAGCACTTTGGGAGGCCAAGGTAGGCAGATCACCTGAGGTCAGGAGCTCGAGACCACCCTGGCCAACATGGTGAAGCCCTATACAAAAATTAGCCAGGCATGGTGGCAAGTGTCTGTAGTCCCAGCTACTCAGGAGGCTGGGGCAGGAGAATTGCTTGAACCCAGGAGGCAGAAGTTTCAGTGAGCTGAGATCACACCACTGCACTCCAGCCTGGGCAACAGAGCGAGACTTCATCTCAAAAAAAAAAAAAAAAAAAATATATATATATATATATATAATGTTAAATGTGCAGTATGTTTTGTGTTTTTGATAGCCCCTGAATCCTATGAGGAACTGAGATCTCTATTGCTAGGAAGATCGATGGAAGAGCAGCTTTTGGTGGTGGAGAGAATTCAGAAGTGCAACCACCCGAGTCTCGCAGAAGGAAACAAAGCAAAATTAGAAGTACGGGGATTGTGTGTGTGTGGAGTCCTGGGAGTGTCGGCACAGCCCCGTATATGAATGCCAGAATTGTGTGAAGTTGTGCAACGGCCACGTGTGCCTCAGGCCAGATGGGGCCAGCCTGTCACCTGGTTACCTATGATGATGGCTGGGAACACTTGGTATGGCACAGGCAGAGGCCTCCCTTGGCTTTGGCTCCTCTCTAAGCCTCGTGCCAGAGCCAGTCAGAGGCAGGCATGGGGACCTTCACCTTCATGTTACAGGGGAGGACACTAAGGTTCACATAGCCACAAGTAGCAGAGCCAGACAGCTGTCAGATAGGTGACTGTGATTGCGCCTTTTCCTCTCAGTGAGAGCTGAGTGTTCGTGAGGAGGGCGCCGTGCTGTGTGTGCTTTCCTAGTGATGTGTTGTCTGCTGTTCTACAGAAGGATGCACCTGACCCTTAGCTTTCCCCCCTCTACACTTTCTAGTGCTTAGCAAGTTCTAGCAGTGTCTTTGCTTGCATGTTAGAAGGCTGCTCATGTCTGTATCCCTGGGCTCCCCTGCCCCACCTGGTTGTCACCAGAATGCAGGTGATCTGGAAGCTGTGTGCCTGTGGCTTTGTTCTTGGTGCTGAGCACTGAGCTTTATTTCCCAATTCATGTTCCTGCAGAAACTGTTTGGCTTTCTTTTGGAGTACGTTGGCGATTTAGCTACAGATGACCCACCAGACCTCAGAGTAATTGATAAATTGGTTGTGTAAGTAAAAAACGTGTGTTATCTGGGATGTGGGGCTGAGCAGAACAGTTTTTCTCCCATTTAGAGTCATAAAAACACATTCCAGAGTTACTAAGGTAGGTGGCATGGTGGCGTCGGCATGCCAGGTAGGCAGGTGGTCACCCAGGGTTTGTGAGTCTCATAGCACAAGCCCGCTTCTCACACATGCCGCTCCAGCCACCGTAGAGCTGGGACTGACTTTTAACCACAACCAAGTTGATTTTGAAACAAGTGAACCCCTTTAGATTTGTGGCTGGGATGGGGTGTCTCATTGTAAGTTTCAAGCTCTGGGTGATTGAGAGATATTTGGAAAGCATGGTAGACACCCCGCCCCTCAGCCCTCAGTGAAACCCAGTTGGGTGGTTCTGCATGCCAGGGGGTGTGTCCCTCTTGTCTGCATGGGGCCTTCCAGGGCGAGTTCCCGCCCTCGCTGCACTCTAAGTCTGTGTGACCCACTCGGTGGCTCCTGGCCCCTGGGGCCGGTGGCCGGAAGAATGCCAGAGGGGCAGAGTTACAGTTGAGAGGTGTGTGTTGGTGTCGTATCCGTGAGAGCACACACCAGCTTCCTGCCCTGTGCCGCACAGAGCTCTCCACGTCATCTGCGTACGTGGAGACACTATCAAAGAAGTACCTGTCGTGAGGAAGAAATGAGTTAATATGGGAAGTGCCTTGGAGCTGTCCACTGCAGCTGCCACACAGAGCAGTGCCCCCAACAACGGTTACCACAGATCAAGCTGTTTCTCCCACCACCTCCAGTCCATGTTATGGCCGAGTTTTTAGGAAATGGCAGAAGTGAGTGTAGACTGTTAAGAATGCTGTTAGAAAAAGCAGATTCATCCAGTTCTTACTTGCTCAGTCAACAGGTGATTTCATAGGAAAATGGCTTACAGGGTTTTTGTTTCTTATCTAAAGTCATTCTCTCCTGACTTACATTTCTGCTGAACAGGCACTTATATAATCTTTGCCAGATGTTTCCTGAATCTGCAAGTGACGCTGTCAAATTTGTTCTCCGAGATGCCATGCATGAGATGGAAGAAATGATTGAGACCAAAGGCCGGGCAACATTGCCAGGGTTGGACGTGGTAAGCAGAGTTCAGTTTAGGCACTGCCCCTGCCATGGAGGTTCTGTTTGGTATCACAGAAGGCCGATGATGGGTACGATGCTCTTGGCTGCGCCCTGTGCCTCCAGGGTGATCTGGAGTGAGCTGCACGGCAGCGAGCCTGGGAGGGGAGGGCGCTTCTCCACTAGCCACGGACTAACGTGTGGGTCGTACAAGGAGATTCTGGTTTGATTCCACGTGAATGGTGCCGTATTTGGTCCAGTGACAGAAACGTTGGAAGGCAAATAGAACCACAATATTTTCCATAAGGGCCCAAGCCTATGGGCTGGTTTTCATTGGTCTCGGTTTGTGTGTTATCCAGAGGTTGGGAGACATTTGAACACTGAGATTTTTAACAATTTTATAACAGCCTCATGCTGTATTTTCAGCTTTAGTAACTTTAAGGAAATACTTGCTGAGATATGCTCTTTATTGCCTGGTGTTTGTGTTGAAATGGATTCACAATAGTTAGCAGAAGCTTAAAACTGTAGGTAGGACTTAGGTTAATGATTTTAATCAACTCCCCAAAACGGGATCTGAGCCCGTGTCTGTGACCATTGCTGACTGCTTCAGCAAAGCCTTCACAGGCCTCAGCACAGTGTCCTCACTGTACGTTTAGCTGTTTGACTCACGGTGGTTGGATGCCTCTTCTGTGACACTGAGGCCAGAACTCTGGGCCAAGGAGATGCACCCTCTCCTCCCCAGAGCCTGTTCTTGGCTCCGGAGTGTTTGTGGGGAGGGCATATGGATGGACTTCATTTACCTTCTTTAACCTGTATGGTAACACTTTCTTTCCAGCTCATTTATTTGAAAATCACTAGGTTGCTGTTTCCAACTTCCGACTTCTGGCACCCGGTGGTGACCCCTGCCCTCGTGTGCCTGAGTCAGCTGCTCACCAAGGTGCGTCCTCTCCACACACGGCAGGGGCCGGCCTGCTGCACCACGGGTGGCCGGAGCCACAGCCCCTCGGGGCCTTGTGGAACATAAGCGTGGCTGTTTAAGGGCCGCAGAGACTGAGCACTGGGGTTAGGCATAAGAGGGCCCACCTAGGCCGGGCACGGTGGCTCAAGCCTGTAATCCCAGCACTTTGGGAGGCCGAGACAGGCGGATCACGAGGTCAGGAGATCGAGACCATCCTAACATGGTGAAACTCCGTCTCTACTAAAAATACAGTTAGCCGGGTGTGGTGGCAGGTGCCTGTATTCCCAGCTACTCGGGAGGCTGAGGCAGGAGAATGGCGTAAACCCTGGAGGCAGAGCTTGCAGTGAGCTGAGATCCGGCCACTGCACTCCAGCCTGGGTGGCAGAGCGAGACTCCGCCTCAAAAAAAAAAAAAAGAGGGCCCATCTAAAAGAGCCCTAGCTCGAGCAGCCCAAGATGTGGGTGGGAGTGGGAGAGCCTGGTTTGGCACCTCAAGGTTACAGATGGTGGGACCCCAGAAAACAACCTTTCGAGTTAGTGGTGAAGTTATCCAGTGTGAAGATAAGGACTTTTATTCCCTTTTTGGCTTAAAAAGTTCAAGCTGTTCCTTTTTCTTTATTAGGCATGTGATTGGTACATGCCTACTGCAGTAATCGTACGCTCTGTATGGGTGGAAGGAACTTTATAAATAGTACAGCTCTGGCTGGGCACAGTGGCTCATGCCTATAATCCCACCACTTTGGGAGGCCGAGGCGGGCGGATTGCCTGAGGTCAGGAGTTCAAGACCAGCCTGGCCAACATGGTGAAACCCCGTCTCTACTAAAAATACAAAAATTAGCTGGGTTTGGTGCCACATTCCTGTAATCCCAGCTACTCCGGAGACTGAGGCAGGAGAATCACTGGAACCTGGGAGGTGGAGGTTGCAGTGAGCCGTGATTGTGCCATTGCACTCCAGCCTGGGCAACAGGAGTGAAACTCTGTCTCAGGGGAAAAAGAATCACTAAAGCTCTTTATGTTTTTGTCATCTCACTTGATCCTCTCAACACTGCCATAAGGTGCGGGGGTTCCCTCTGTACCCGTGAAGCTCAGTGGGGTGTGTGGTTCAGGGAAGCCCGGTGGTTGACCTAGCATGGCATGACATCGTCCCAGGACAGTAACCCCCCAAATATTCCTTTCCAGTGCCCCGTCCTGTCCCTCCAGGACGTGGTGAAGGGCCTGTTCGTGTGCTGCCTGTTCCTGGAGTATGTGGCTTTGTCCCAGAGGTTTATACCTGAGCTGATTAATTTTCTTCTTGGGATTCTTTACATAGCAACTCCAAACAAAGCAAGCCAAGGTGAGTTGATTTGAAGAAGCTTCCTACCAATATTTTATACTTTAGAGTGTTTTAAAGTAGTTCATACTCATTGTAGAAGGTTTAGAATATGGAAAAGTAGAGGAAACATACAAACCTGCCACCCGCCGTCCTGAGTAGCACCCTTTTTCCCTCTGTGTGAGCGTGCACATGCCACGTGGGGAAAAGCAGCGCCACCGGTGACCTGTGCTGTCCAGCGCGGTCTCCATTGACCAGAGTCTGAACTGAGACATGCCCCACATGTGACACATGCCCAGGTGGCGAAGACAGTGCCAGAAATACTAAAATATCTTAATTTTTTGTATTATGTATTAAAATCACAATATTTTGGTATTTGGGGTTAGATAAGATCTATTGTTAAAATCAATTTTACCTTTTTACTTTTTCTCACATGACAACAAGGCAGTGTGAAAGTTCTCGTGTGGCTCACACAGGCATCGCTGCTGTGTTGCTTCTGTAACGCTCTGAATTCGGGAGGGAGGGTGACAAGAGCAGCGCTGGGATGAGGAGCCGTCTGCCCACTGCCTGCCCTCCTGGGCCCTCACCCCAGCCCCTGTGCTCCTCCCCCTTCCCCTGATGCCAGCTCTGCTCCTGGATGCTTCCTCAGCACTTGCTGCTTCCCTTTGTGGGGGCGAAGAGCTGTGCAGCCTCTGTCCTGAACTCTTCCATGTCTGTGGATGCCTCTCCCAGCCTGACCAGAGGTTGGACCTCAAGGCTAAGACCCCTGCCCTCTATTTCCAGTTCACTGTGCAGTGCCAAGCGCCTGCATGTCGAGGGGACTGACCTGAGGAGCAGGTGCTCTGGCGTCATTCACACTGCCAGCAGAGTCCCTTCCGAGAGGGATCTGGCCATTCCTCCGGTTCAGTGCTCCCATTCTGCCACCCCCTGGCTCCCGAGGCTCCTGTCTGTCAGGCTTGGTGCTGGGCGCCAGAGAGGCGCGGCCACCCACATGCTCCCTGCCTCAGGGAGAGCCACCTGCAGATTGCTGCAGTCCCGCGTGTGAAGGGCTGTGACGGAACAGGCTGGGCACGGGTGGAGTCAAGGAGGGGGCGTGCATCTCGGCTTTGAGGGAGTGTGGGACGGGGCTTGACCCACCACCTTCCCCTCTCTCTTGGCCTGGCACCTCCGCCCCACTGTGCCTGTCTCCATCCCTCCCCCTGCAGCCACGCCCTCAGCCTGGATTGCCCTTCTCTGTGGATTGACTCCTGCGTGTCCTACAGGCCTTTGCTGACATCTGCCCCCTCAGACCTCTCCCGCCCTGCACCATCACCCCTGACTGACCCTGCTGTCTGCCCCCTGCCCCTCTGCTTTCCTTTCTCGTGTTCTGTCTGGTCCATTTGCTCCTCGGGGTGCTGTTCGCTGCCTGTCTCCCAACAGGGGCAGGGACTTCAGTCTGTTCCTGGATGTGGCCTGAGCTCCTCATCAGCCCCATGTGGTGCCTAGTAGGTCCCAGGACGTCTGTTGCAAGCAGGCCTCCCAGGCAGGATCAGGCACTTGGCTCTCACTGCACTCCCTGCCAGAGCTTTCCCCCTTCCCCTGAGGTGTCCCTGCCCACACTGAAACCCTCAGTGTCTGGCACAACCCAGAAACATAAAAATCAGTGTGTGTCTGTTAAGAGAGTGAACTTCCACAGGCTTGGTGCTGCAGAGCCTGCTGGGAGCCCAGTAACATTCAGGCCATCTCTGTCCTGTCGCACTTGGAATTCAGGTTCCACTCTGGTGCACCCTTTCAGAGCACTTGGGAAGAACTCGGAACTGCTTGTGGTGTCTGATAGAGAGGATGTGGCCACGTGGCAGCAGAGCAGCCTCTCCCTCCGCTGGGCGAGTGGACTGAGGGCCCCGACTTCAACAGAGGCCAATCACATCCGGTATGTGAGGGAACCCCACTTTGGGGCCTGTGCCCTACGCGTCCCCAGAGGCAGGAGGAGCCACTCAAGCTTTCTGATGGGCTGTTAGCGAACTTGCTGCCCGGCTGTTTGGCTTGATGGAGGGTGAAAGCCTTTCTGAGGCATGGTGTCCCTTTTTTTTTCATTTTCAAAATACATTTGTTTGATTTCACAAATCATAATTTGGAGCCAAAAATGGAGCCACCCCATCCCAGCTGGCGCTGCGTTTCCCACAGCCTTCCCTCCTGCATTAGGCCTGACACTGAGCCTACCTTGCCCATGGGTGTATGGGCCCAACCCTGGCCAGCTAAGGTGACCACATTGAATTTTTCAGCCTAGTGGAAGTGGGGAAGTTCATTTTTGCCATGTTACTGGTTTTGTCAGTGACAAATAGAACAAGTTGGACTTCTTGCCTCCTGCCCTCACAGGCTGTCCTGCCTGGCTGTGGGCCTGGCCCTGCTGAAGCGCTGTGTGCTCATGTACGGGTCCCTGCCATCCTTCCACGCCATCATGGGGCCTCTCCGAGCCCTCCTCACAGATCACCTGGCAGACTGCAGCCACCCCCAGGAGCTCCAGGTGAGGCTTCCTGGCCACTCGGGTGCTTTACCTGGGCTCAGACACGTCCCTGAGCTGGGGCCGAGCTGGGGCCAAGCTGGTGGCATTTGGTCATTTGAGGCTGCAGCTCTAAGTCAACACCATCTGCAAAATCACAAACATGAAAGGAAAGTGAAATCCTAAAACTGGGCAGTGACAGTGAGCAGTGCTGGGCTGGAGTAAAGCAGATGCTGCATCTCAGGCGGTAGCTGGGAACTGTCGCCTTGTGTGCAACCTCCAAGAGGCCGCACAGAGGGTGCACCAACGCCCAGGGGTCAGCCCCTGCTAGTCCTGGACAGTCAGCTCTGAACCGCGCCCTGCAGTCCTGATGGGTTTTCCAAGGGTGGTCTTACCATCCTGCACAGAGTGACAGGAAGCCCCAATGGACAGTCTCAGGTGGACCCAAGAATGAGTCTTCGATGCCGGGCACATCCTGTCCTCTGTGGGCTGCTCGAAATTCACTTACAGCCTATCCACCCCCCTCCCTTTCACCCTGACCCTGACAGGCTGTACCCTGCATCCACTTCCTGCTTGACATGGCTGTGGCTTGTGCCTTTCATCCTGCCTCAGCCCGCACCAGCGCAGGATGCTGCTAGAGCCGAAGGCATCAATGCCATGTCCACAGCTGCCCCCACAGGGGTGCCCCGCACCACTAGCACAGCCCTGGCAGCCTTGCCTCGTGCCCTTCCCTCATGCGCTCCGGCCTCCTCGCAGGCCTGGCTCCGTCTCGGGAGTTGTTCTCTGTACCTGGAACTCCTCACAGCCGTGCTGCTCGCACCCATGCCCTTGGGAAGCCAGGCCTTCGCTGGCCCACACTGCGCCATGCTCCCTGTGTCTTGTCTGCGGTGCGGACCCCCAGGCACGTGACACCATCCTTGTCTCTGCCCCACTAGGATGAGAGTTCCATGAGGACAGCAACTCGGCCCGTCCCTGGCCAGGTCCCTGGAGCATAGAGCAGACAAGCCAGCCATCACAGACTCCCATCGCCTAGTCAAAGGCTGATGAGGAGGAGACATTAGCTCTGCCCCTTATCCTGTACCCACTTTCTGCTGATGTGGCCGTAGGTTGTGCCTTTCATTTAAAAAACTTCGGGTTGGCTGGCTGAGGGGCACAACAGGCCTTGTGGTCTTTGTAGACTGAGCCAGTCAGGCCCTTGAGTTTAGCCTCCATGGAGATGTGGCATTCAGGCACTCGAAGGTTACATCCAGATGGGCCCAGGAGTGGCTGTGTCTGTGGGTGCAGGCAGCCAGGGTTCCACGACACACCTGTGCAAGAGAAAGCAGGTAGGACCAACGTCAGTGAACTGGCTTTCGGGAGATTGCTCAGAAGCCACCAGCCAACTCTTCTGGAAGCCAAGGTCTTGGCGAAAGTGGGCCTTAACCATCTGTTGGTTCTGTTGGCTTGAAAATAAGGTCAAACTGCCAAGACTAGTAGAAACCCTACCCCACCTGGCACCAAGCGTCAGTCTGCACACCTGGGTTCTAGCATGCACGCGGCCCCCCATGCCAGAAGGGGGTTCTCCTGTGAGCCTTCTCACGAAGCAGGTGGCTCATGGCCTTTCGTGCCAAGTTTGTCTGGGAAAGGGGTTCTGTGGACGTTTCTGGCCATGAGGAGCACAGACTATCATGACCTCCAAGTCCCCTCCTTTCAGAGTGCTCTCCGGGGCCAGCACACGGGCCCCTCCCTCTTCAGCAAGACAGTGGCTTTACTTTGTTTTGGCTGTGCCAGACCTTGAGCAGCCATAGCCTTGGCTTCCCCTCCACCAGTGGGCACACAGCAAGGGCACCGTCCTGCTGCGGGGAGCTCGCAGTACTGTCCTCAGCTGCCTGGACACCGCAGCACATGTGCGTGGAGCGCAGGTCGCAGCAGGTGAGTCATCGCAGCGTCGGGGATTGCGTGTTTTTCAGGAGCTGTGTCAGAGCACACTGACCGAAATGGAAAGCCAGAAGCAGCTCTGCCGGCCGCTGACCTGTGAGAAGAGCAAGCCTGTCCCACTGAAGCTGTTCACGCCCCGGCTGGTCAAAGTGTGGGTGTTGGCAGCATCTCCCTAGGGGGCCGGGACTGGGGGCTCAGTGGGAGGTGACGGGGTGTCTGCCAGTTCTGCAGTTGAGCAGATGACTACGGAGCGAAGCCACACTCCCGAGCAGGCTCTGGCCGAGAGGTGGGGACAGATTCTTGCTTCCTTAACAGTGGCGTTTTGATTGTAGCCTCGAGTTTGGAAGAAAACAAGGCAGTAGTAAGGAGGAGCAGGAAAGGAAGAGGCTGATCCACAAACACAAGCGTGAATTTAAAGGGGCTGTTCGAGAAATCCGCAAGGACAATCAGTTCTTGGCGAGGATGCAACTCTCAGAAATAATGGAACGGTGAGGGGGACGTGTGTGCGACATGATTGTGATGTGACTCAGCTTTGGTGCTGTGTGGCCCTGGGCAGAACACCGGGCACCTGGCCTCCCCCAGCCTTGGCTCTGGCTAGGGGCTGGAGCCAGGCAGGTTCGCTTCCCCTCTGTTTGAGCTGAGCGTGGCCACGGTGGCTAATGTTCTGATGTGGGAGAGAGAGGGCAAGACGCTCTCCAAGAACTAATCCAAAAATGGGCATTTGCCTTTTGTTTCTTTCAGGGATGCAGAAAGAAAACGGAAAGTAAAGCAGCTTTTTAACAGCCTGGCTACACAAGAAGGCGAATGGAAGGCTCTGAAGAGGAAAAAGTTCAAAAAATAAATTACATTTTATAAATTAGGCAAGGAAATACTGGACATTACCTCACATCTGCAATTCCAACCCTCTTGGCCTCTGGGAGGCCAAGGCAGAAGGATTGCTTCAGCTCAGGAGTTCAAGACTAGCCAGGGGGAGGACCCTGTCTCTACAAAAAAAATGTTTTAATTAGCCAAGTGTGGTGGCACGTACCTGTAGTTCCAGGTACTCGGGAGGCTGAAGCAGGACTGCTTGAGCTGAGTCCAAGGTTACAGTGAGTCGTGATCGCGCTACTGTACTCCAGCCTTGGCAACTGTGCAAGACCCTGTCGCTTAAAAAAAAAAATAGATCTTTTTTTTTTTTTTTTTTTGAGACAGGAGTTTTGCTCTTGTTGCCCAGGCTGGAGTGCAGTGGCGCAACCTCCACCTTCTAGGTTCCAGCGATTCTCCAGCTTCAGCCTCCCCAGTAGCTGGGATTACAGGCATGTGCCACCACGCCCAGCTAATTTTGTATTTTTAGTAGAGATGGGGTTTCTCCATGTTGGTCAGGCTGGTCTCAAACTCCCAACCTCAGGTGATCCACCCACCTTGGCCCCCCAAAATCCTGTGATTACAGGTGTGAGCCACAGCACCCAGCCAAAAAAGTAATTTTTGTTAAAATAGTAATGCTGTAATGTTGGTGTGATTCCAACCTTCAACCACCCCCCTACCCCCCACAGTTTTGTTCCTGTTAAAACACCTCCTGATGAAATAAAATGAATTCTGAAATGCACCTCTGGGATCGGGAATGGTCTGCGTGGTGTCAGCTGCGACTGGTTCACTGCATCTGGACAAGCCTCAGTTCGTGCTGCCAGGGTTGGCACTGGGGATTCTGGCCAGTGTAATTTCTGTCAACCACAGACATTTGCCTTCATGTGTAGAATTTACACTGTTGTTATGCAAATTATATTTTCTATTATAAATGAAACAAGTTTGCAAATAGCTTAGAAATCAGAGAAGGGAAACGTCACCCACAGTCCCCCTGCTGGAACAGCCACGGTTGGCCTTGCCCTGCTTACGTCCTTCAGTGGATGCTTCTGGGCGCTGGGGCCTTCCATTCAGGACACCGCACTGTGGGAGCTGGGAGAAGACTGGGTTGCATCTGTGCCAACCTGCGATACAGTTTCAGGTGAGAATCAGAAGATGCGCATGTTATGGATGAGACAGCTTTTTAAAGTGCTTTTACCCTGCACTAACCAAGAAGGAAGTCGGCCCTCAGCTTTACTGGACCCAGGAGGGGCTGTGAGCTGTAAGGAGTAATGACCCCCCTTGAACTTGACAAGCTGGCCAGGGAGCCACATCCCGAATGCCACGGCCACTTCCTCACGGTGCATGGTTTGTTGGACCTGCGACCTTGCAGAGGGAGGTGCTGAAGTGGGAGTTTCCCTGTACCAATATGGTCTGCTGTCTTACAGGCGGAGGCATTCCCCAGTGGACTATGGAGCTTGTGTCCTTAGCCAGCATCCCAGGAAAGCCGCCCAGGGTCAAGTTCATGCCACATGAGATCACACGGACCAGGCTGCCCTAGTATGTGCATGAAGCATCGCTGAGGTCACACGTCTAGCCACAGTGACCATGGTGAGATTTAACCAGACCAGGACGGGGGAAGGGAGGAAGGTGACAAGGACCCAGTTCCAGCTTCTAACGAGGTGTGGGATCTTTAGGCAAGGAAGAAGGTGCTGCGGAGAATGAGTCTGGCTTTGTTCTTGTTGGGAGGTGTTGAGGCCACGGCTGGAGCACAACATGAGCCATCCTCAGCGTGAGAGGCAGTTACTGCTGTGGTTGGGCTGCCTGGTAGGCCTGGAGCTAATGAGCCAGTCTCCCCCTGCAAAGTGGAAGACAGAGACAGCGCTGGTGGCAGCGGGACTGAAGCTAGCAGCTTGAAGATGAGGCTCACCTCCTGACAGGGGCATGTATCTTACCCAGCCTCCCCAGATGGCTCCGAGACATGTCTGGCAGGTGCAAGGATCCACAAATCTAGAAGGGTCTGGGCTTGTCACATCCACCAACTAGGCTGGCTGGCTTGTCACCGTGTAGGCCCAGGATGCTGTTATCAACGGCTGCAGAATTTCACCAACAAATTTTCTCTGCCACACGGCTACTGCCACTTTAATTCACCAAGCCAAGCCCTTGCACTCAGGACCCTGGCCCAACTGTCCAAGCAAAGAGGAAAAGAAAACAGGACAGAAAAAAATGCGGGACCAGACCAGGCACCTGGCTCTCCGTTGAGGCCTTGCTATCCAACCCAGGACAGAAGGCGCCGGCAGCAAGCTCATACACCCTAGCTGTGTCATGTCATCGAAGAGGGCGCGTGATCCAGCTGGAAGGGTGGATAAAGATGTTAACTGTCCAATGGGTTCACCTTCCCTGTTACCTAGACAGCCAATTTATCAAGAAAGGGCATTTGCAATAGAGAAGTAGTAATTCACACAGAGCTAGCTGTGCAGGAGACCGGAGTTTTATTACTCAGTCTCCCTGAGCATTTGGGGATTGGAGTTTTTAAAGATAAGTTGGTGGGTGGGGGCAGCCAGTGGGTCAGGAGTACTGATTGGTCCGGTCAGAGATGAAATCACAGGGAGTCGAAGCTGTTCTCTTGCACTGAGTCAGTTCCTGGGTGCCACGAGATCAGATAAGCCGGGGTGGTGCCAGCTGATCCATCAAGTACTGATCTGAGGCTTTACAATAGTGATGTTACCGCCAGGAGCAGTTTGGGGAGGGTCAGAATCCTGTAGCCTCCAGCTGCATGAGTCCTCAACCATAGTTTCTAATCTTGTGGCTAATCTTTTAGTCCCATAAAAGCAGTCTAGTCCCCAGGAAAGGTTTCTTTTCGGAAAGGGCTATTATTTTTGTTTTAAACTAAGTTCTTCCCCAAGTTCAGCCTACGCCCAGGAATAAACAAGGAGAGCATGGAGGTTAGAAGATGGAGCTGGTTCTCTCTCACTGTTACAAGTTTGCAATGGCAGTTTCATAGGGATGCCTGTCCTCTGAGGAAAAAGCGAATAACAGGTTGTCTTTTTGACTGCAGGTGGAAAAACGCATCTCTTAGGCAGAGGTGGGGCTTTGTTCTTACCCACAATTGGAAGCTCTGTGTGGAGTAAAGGCAGCGTGTGTGCCACCTGATTCCTTTCCCCATGTGTATCTGGTTGGGGTCGGCCACAAGAGATCCGCACCTATTTTAGAAGGTGGGAGGGGAGGTGGGAGCTGGCTGTAGGCCCGGCGGTGGCGCGGTTCCTTGAGTGTGCTGGCCCCGGGGCACGGCACGGGCAGCAGCCAGGCCCAAAGCTTCTCCTGTCTAAAGCTCCTCCTGCCCAGGGGACCGTTTCCTCCAGCGCTGGGTCAGGTGCTTCTGCGCCCGGCAAGAGCGCCAGCTCCTCCCTGACCCAGGGAACGGGGTTGCAGGCCCAGGCGGCCGAAAAGGTGCCAACCGGGTCCTGTGGCTTTCAGTTGTCTCTGCCCACCCAATTCACACCATCTTTCCCCCTCAGCCGCCTGTCCTGGAACTTCAGGCTCTGCACCAAACGCAGCAAAAGTAGCTGCACAGAGACAGCGGGGTCGGCTCACGCGGCCCGAGTAGAATGGCTGTGCTGCTGCCCCAGGCCCGCGACCACCGCTGTGTGTGTGGCAGGAGTCAGCCCCCGGCGTGGGGTCCCGAAGCCCGCGGTCCTTCCACGGGGAGGGCCAGGTCCGCACGGCGCAGAGGCTGGGGGACGGGCTGCGCGACGCTCGCCTGAGGCCCCGCACACGTGTACACCTCAGGCCTATGGGTCCGCTCCGCGGGGCAGGCGTCGTCGGCCCAGGGAGGCCAGGCCGGGAGTCTCGGCCTCCGGGTTACGCGGGGGCACAGCTCCTCCGCTCCGGTCAGGGTGCTGCTAACCCACGGCCGAGCAGTGAGCCGCAGGACAGGCGAGAACCCAGCCACGCCCACCGGCCGGAAGACAGCGTACCGACATGTTCGTCACTTCCGGGGCTTGGAGTGACCGGGCGTGGCCGTCCCGCCCCTGGCGGCGTGCCTGGCGCCGTGTTCCGCGTCCGTGCGACCGTCTGTCCCGAGCGCACAGCCGCGGCAGGTGCGGGGCGGGACCGGGGGCGCGCGGGGTGGGGGGCGTAGGGGGCGCGCGGCGTGGGGGGGCGTAAGAAGCGCGCGGGGTGGGGGGCGTAGGGGGCGCGCAGGGTGGGAGCGGGACAGGAGACGGGGCGTGGGGGAGGAGGCGGGACCGGGGGCACGCGGGGTGGCGCGGGTGGGAGGCGCGCAGGGTGGGGGAGGGGGGGCGCGCGGGGTGTGGGGCTGGACCAGGGGCGCGCGGGGTGGGGGCGGGACCGGGGCGCACGCGGGATGGCGGGGTGGGAGGCGCGCGGGGTTGAGGGCGGTCCCGCGTCCAGTGTGCAGGCCATGGCCGCCGCCAGGGAGGCCGAGTCCGGACCAGGGGCCGGGATCTCGGCGCGCGGGTTGGGGTTGGGGTCCGGGTCCCCCGCGGCTTCAAGTTTCCTCTCTCACTGTTACGAGGGCGTGGGAGGCGCGGCCGTGGGGCGGGGTGGGGCCGGGCTCGCGATGTGCTCACCCCGGTTCCTGGGGACCGTTGCCTTTGTGGCTACGATTTCTTGTGCAACCCCCGAAGCCTGCGTTTCCTGATGCCTGGGTCGGGGCGGGGGCATCGCGCAGGCCAGAATGGCCCCTGCGTCTGTAGGCCGGAGCCTCTGCCATCAGCCCCTTTAGGGTGTTCGCCAGCTGTCGGGTGTGGGGGCATGGCAGGCCCTGGAGGACCCAGTTTCCCCGCTCACCCGACCCGCCACACCCCAGCCAGGCCAGGTCAGAGCAGCCCACCATGGGACGGGGAGGGGGTGGAGGCTGCACCCCGCGCCCACCCATCCACCAGCAGCCACCAGAGCGCCGCGTGGTCACCGTTGTCTTCCTTGGCCTCCTGCTGGACCTCCTGGCCTTCACGCTGCTGCTGCCCCTGCTTCCCGGGCTGTTGGAGAGCCACGACCGTGCCCACGTGAGTCCTTGCCCTGCGGCCACAGTGCCCCCCGCCCCCCAGGCCCATTGGACCTCCCCAGCCCTTATCGTGCCTCCTCATCCCCTAGGACCCCCTTTATGGCTCCTGGCAGGGTGGGGTGAACTGGTTTGCCACCGCCATCGGGATGCCAGTGGAGAAGAGATACAATAGTGTCCTGTTCGGAGGTATGACTGGCTCTGTGCCCCTGGCGGGCTCTCTACGGTCCTATCTTTGGTGGACATGGTCCAGCCCAGGCCCCTCCCCAATTATTAGTCCTTCCCTTCCCACTCTCTGGGCTGGCATCTATCTGGTGCCCTTGCCCACACGTCCTGGCTCCTGGGCATGATCCCTTGCCTCTGCGTGTCAGGTTCATCCCCTTTCTCATCTCTCCACTGGGGCCTCCTCGGCTCAAGGGCCATGGCCTGTGAGTGTAGGGCCCAGAATGACTGGACCCTCAGAACGGGGCTGGACATTGGCCTTGAGGGCCCTGAGACCACAGCCCCATGATGGTGACATCTGTCTCTCAGGTCTCATTGGCTCAGCCTTCTCTGTTCTGCAGTTTCTGTGCGCACCACTCACTGGGGCCACCTCTGACTGCTTGGGGAGGCGCCCGGTGATGCTGCTGTGCCTGGTATGTCCCTGGGGCTGGGTGCCCATGGGGAAGCCGCCTCCCACCCAGCCAGTAGCCCCATGGGGTTAGGTGGGGAGAGGGAGGTGGCTGTGGGCCACTCATGGCCACTTGTTGGCCCTCATCGCATCCTGGAGGGGGTTCTCTGGGGGGACCAGTGGCTCCTGTTGCAAAGCCAGGCTTTCGAGGCGGTGCTCCTGGCCCCTAGGAAGGCATTGAGAACACAGTGGCCCTCAGATGCTTCGAAATAGGGCAGGGTTGAGGGGTGTTGCCTGCGTTACCAAGTCCTACTCTGAGCCACTCCTGGCCTTAAGTGACCGCCCCTGCCCCTTGGCCCCTGCCCCTGGGCAGATGGGTGTGGCCACCTCATATGCAGTCTGGGCCACCTCTCGGAGCTTTGCGGCCTTCCTGGCCTCCAGGCTGATCGGGGGCATCAGCAAAGGGAACGTCAGCCTCTCCACGGCCATCGTTGCTGACCTGGGCTCGCCTCTGGCCCGCAGCCAAGGCATGGTAAGTGCACAGGCTGGGCCTTTGGGGTCCGGGGGTGGACTTCTGGGCCTGGGTCTCCCTGTGCAGCTCAGGTGGCCTTTTCTCTAGGCGGTCATTGGGGTGGCCTTCTCACTGGGCTTCACCCTGGGCCCTATGCTTGGAGCCTCCCTGCCCCTGGAAATGGCACCCTGGTTTGCCCTGCTCTTCGCAGCCTCCGACCTGCTGTTCATCTTCTGCTTCCTGCCGGAGACGCTGCCCCTGGAGAAACGGGTAGGGCTGCGGTCTGGGACCCACAGGCCCGGGGGCTGGGGGCTTGGTTCCGTAGCGCTGTAAAATGCCCCTGTGTGCCAGCCCCAGGTGCCAGGGAGGCTGGGCCGCCCTCTTGGTGTTGGGGCTCTTGAGGCCACAGTCCGCAGGTTGCCAGGCCAGCAGCTGCTCCTGCAGGCTCTCCAATCCCATCCCCACAGGCGCTGTCTGTCCCCCCAGGGTTCCGTGATCCACTCCCGTCCCCACAGGCGCCGTCTGTCCCCCCGGGGTTCCGTGATCTCCAATCCTGACCCCACAGGCGCTGTGTGTCCCCCTGGGGCTCCGTGATCTCCAATCCTGTCCCCACAGGCGCCGTCTGTCTCCCTGGGGTTCCGTGATCTCCAATCCTGTCCCCACAGGCGCCGTGTGTCCCCCCGGGGCTCCGTGATCTCCGGTCCCGTCCCCACAGGCGCCGTCTGTCTCCCTGGGGTTCCGTGATCTCCAATCCTGTCCCCACAGGCGCCGTCTGTCCCCCCGGGGTTCCGTGATCTCCAATCCTGTCCCCACAGGCGCCGTCTGTCTCCCCGGGGCTCCGTGATGCGGCCGATCTGCTCAGCCCCCTGGCCCTGCTGCGCTTCTCAGCCGTCGCTCGTGGTCAGGACCCGCCCACTGGAGACAGTAAGGACTCAACCCACCCAAGTGTGGAGCCTGCTCTCCCTTGCGCGTCCCCAGGCGGAGCCCTTCCCTGCTGTGGTCGCCTTCTCAGCGCCCTCCACCTCTCCCCAGGGCTCAGCAGCCTGCGCCGCCTGGGCCTCGTCTACTTCCTCTACCTCTTCCTGTTCTCGGGCCTGGAGTACACGCTGAGCTTCCTCACACACCAGCGCTTCCAGTTCAGCAGGTGGATCCTCATCTGGGGACAGCCTGCTGTCTTCCTGAACGCCCCTGCTTCAGGGATGACCCCTCCCAAGCCCCATCCCCAGGAAGCCTTGGCAGCCACTCTCGCCCTGGCCCTGCCCCGGGTGACCCTGCCCCGGGTGACCCTGCCCCGGGTGGCCCTGCCCCGGGTGGCCCTGCCCCGGGTGGCCCTGCCCCGGGTGACCCTGCCCCGGGTGGCCCTGCCCCGGGTGACCCTGCCCCGGGTGACCCTGCACTAACGCGCCTGCTCCCAGCCTGCAGCAGGGGAAGATGTTTTTCTTCATCGGCCTCACCATGGCCACCATCCAGGGTGCCTATGCCCGGCGGATCCACCCCGGCGGGGAAGTTGCTGCCGTGAAGCGGGTACGGGGCTCCCTCCGAAGCGGGTGGCAGGCAGTCCCCTGAGCCCTGTGGGGCACGGGCTGTGCTGAGGCTGCCGTGCCCACCTGCAGGCCCTCCTACTGCTGGTGCCTGCCTTCCTCCTCATCGGCTGGAGCCATTCTCTGCCCATGCTGGGCCTGGGGCTGCTGCTGTACTCCTTTGGTGAGTGGCCCTGCCCTGGCAGGGGATCCAATGGGCAGCAAGGGCTGGGTGGTGCGCCCTCCCCTGGGCTGATGGGAGCCTCCTCAATGTCCCCCACCAGCTGCCGCCATTGTGGTGCCCTGCCTGTCCTCCGTGGTCGCTGGCTATGGTAAGACCCTTCCCTCAGCCAAAGCCACCTGAGCCAGAGAAGGGCAGTGGCCCCTGACTACGCCTCTCCCCACAGGCTCACCAGGGCAGAAGGGCACGGTCATGGGTACACTGCGCAGCCTAGGCGCTCTGGCCAGGGCCGCGGGGCCCCTGGTGGCTGCTTCAGGTGAGGGCGCGGGATAGTGCTGGGGCAGGCTGGGGGCCGGGGCAGGCTGGGGGCCGGGCACCTGCTCTCACCTCCCCAGTGCCAGCCCCCTCGGAGCCTGGGTGACGCTGCCATCTCTCCGCAGTGTACTGGCTGGCTGGGGCCCAGGCCTGCTTCACCACGTGGTCCGGGCTCTTTTTGCTCCCCTTCCTCCTCCTGCAGAAGCTGAATTATTCGGCACAGACGCTCAAGGCTGAGTAGCTGAGCCACTGTGCCCAGGCTGTGGGCACCAGGCAGAGTGGGAGCCTGGGTCAGAGCCCTGCCCACTGCCTGACCCCCCTCCTTCCCAGTCCAGGGAGACCCTGTGGGTGGGAGCCAGCCCCCCAGCAGGAAGCCCAGGCAGCTCCTCCAGACTCATTCCTATGAATGACTCCAGGCGGCAGCACTCCAAGGCCGTCACGGTTTGTTTGTTTTCTAAACTATGCACCAGGTTTCTGATGATGAAATAAAGCACCTGTTTTATACCAAATGCCTTTCTCCATACGTAGCTGGGCCTCTACCCACACCACGAGAGGCAGCTAGAGCTGAATGAATGGTTCCACTGACCAGAAGGGTCTGAGGCTCTTTGAGACCCTCAGTTTCCCCCTCTGCAGTGGCAGCCTGGGGACTCAGGCCCCTCCAAGGCTGGGGTCAGCCCTGGCCAGGTGGTATGTGGCAGTGTGCCCGGCACCCTGGCAGGGTATCTCCCGCACAGAGCCCTCCCCATCAGACATGAGCACACAGTGACGGTGAGACTGGGACTGTGGGGACAAGGACAGGCCAGCAGCTCCCTGGACACCCTGAGTTCCCGTGGGGAGGGACAACAGGAGTGCCGGGCGGAACGTCCTCCCGCACCCATGGCTGCAGATGACGTTAGACATGAACATTTGGAGGTCTCCTTTCGGCACACAGACAGACTTGGGAACAAAAAAATTAAAATATAAAACTGCTTCCCAGATTTAGACAAAGAAATTGCTGAAAGAATTTTATTTGTGAGTAAAACATGTTACACTGGAGAAAGGACATTCAGGACCTGTCCTCCCAAGTCGGTGTCCATATATGCAACTATATTTCATGTTGTAATACAAAGGATTAAACTACAAAAGTGAAAATTAAGTCATTGCATATGTGGGGTAAAGGAACGGGATAAAAGAGGTAAAGGAAGAGTCCACGGTTAAGGACTTTTCATTCTGCCTTGGCAACAAAACGACACAGAAGAGAGGCAGCACGCTTGCCCGCGTAGCAGGCCCTGCGGCTCAGAGGAAGCTCGAAGCGGCAGGCAGTGCCATGCAGCAGCCTGCTTCTCGCTCGGCCGGCCAATCAGTGGGATCCGAGGTGGCTCGGCCCATCATGCCCAGGGTCTGAGCCCACACCTGGCACCAGCTCTATCAGGGGCCTGTTGGGCCCACACAAGCTTGCCTGCACCTAGTCAGGCTGGTAAGAGGCAGCTCCTGAAATGGGTCACCCTCCAGTTCCTGCTCAGCAGCTCTGAGCCCTTTTCCAGCCTCTTCCAGGGAAGTGAAAACAACAGTATTAGCCAAGGAGCGCCCGTCTCAGGCTCCCTCAGTGACGACCGTGTCGAGGGGCCCCGGGGCTACTCTCCACCTCGAGTTACCTTTTATCACAACTAGGGCATCTTTCTGGCTGAGTTAACGGTGAGAACAGATCCCCTGAAACCTCCCCCAAGTAAGTGAAAAGTGCTCTACTATGGGGTCTGGAAAGAAGCAAAAAGCCTGTTCACGTTCACAGTCAAAAAATATAAGCTAAATTGTAAACCTACTCAAAGAAAATTCTAGAAAGGACTCTTCCCCTCCTGATACACCTTCCCTATGACAGGAATCCAGAGACCCAAGTGAAAAAACTGAGCTCCTGAATCTGGTTGTGGTCAAGGGATCATCGGTCAGACATGCATAGCATCGCGTTGGGTGCACACAGGCCCATCTGCCGCTGGCGTTCCCTGCCCAGCGTCTGGCCCAGACCTGCCTCTTCAAGGCCGCTGGTGGGCACACGAGTGTTTTCACGGGACCAAGGCTTTGTATATAGACTTAAGTGAGATCACTGAGCAGAGAGAATGCCACATGGAACCAGGAGTCTGAGTCCGTCACCTGAGACCTTAGGGTGGAGGGGAAGCCGGGCAGAAACAGAATGTGCTGATTTCACAACAGGAAGGATGGCAGGAAAGGTCAAGGCTCAGGAGGGTGACACCTGCGGCCAAAGCTGCAGAAGCCTCCAGTACCTTCCAGCTAGGACCATGACTTAGTGCCTCTCTGCTGTGGGGAGAGCACGTCTCCCCCAGAAGCTGAGGCTGAGAGGACAAGAGGCGGGGGGTGGGGCTGCTGCGCACACGCGGGGTCAGCCCAGGGCTACACAGGGCTGCTCACGTGCGGGGACCCCTAGCTAGTGGAGGGCTTGGCTTTTTGCATTCCATTACACAAGGACAGGGCACGGACGCAGTCGGGGACTCTGGCGGAGCCAGGGTCGCTCCGGACAGGACAGTGTTAGCGCGGGGCCTTCAGGAGTCACTCTTCTTCTTGCTCTTCTTCAGAAAGGACGGGGTACGGAACTTCTTCTTCTTTTTGGACGGGGACTTGCCTGGAGACCCATCGCTGCCAGGGTCCGCGGCGGCCCCCTCCTCGGCAGCTGAGGGGGCAGCCTCTTCAGCCACGGGGGCTGGGTCTGGGGCTGGCTCGGGGCTGGCCTCAGTAGGGGCCTCAGTGGGGCTTGGGGGTCTCTGGGCTTCCTCCTCCTTCTCTAACATAGGGAAGCCGAGTGCTTCTGAAGGCTCGTCAGGGGACAGATCGGGGAGAGTTGGCTTAAAGGTGGCGGCATCACTGTCATCCCCAGTAGCTGGCTCCGGCACAAGGTCTAGTGGGTGAGGTGAGAGACGGGGTTAAGGGTTCCTGCCCAGATCTCAAAGGGCAGCTTGAGATGGGGGCACCCCACACAGGAAACTGCCATTTCATTTTACTCTACGGATTTTTACCAAGGCAAGAAACTTAAAATATGGTCTACTCTACTCTACGGCTGGATGGAGCTAATATCACAAAACACAGACTTGGTCTCGGGGTAGCTTTTAGCTCCTTCTTGTGGGCAGTGTGGTGACACCACCAGACTCCGCCCCAGGCTTGGGTCCCCCCACCAGAAAGAGAGACTGCAGCACAAGCTGAGGACAGCTAAAGGAGCGACGTCCCGCTTTCATTATGTGAAGAGCAGTCTGCCCTGTCACCCTAAGGGCATGTATTCATAGTCGTGAAATTAAGTCTAAATGGGTCCACAACACCTGGTCTCCCCCAAAACAGCCAGTAGAAAATTGTGCGTAACTCCCACAGCACGTGTGATGTCAACATCCAAAAGAACAAAGCCGTTTAGGATGGAAGTTAATTAAAAGGAAAAAGACGGCCTTTAAGGCAAGGAGCGGGGGCAAAAACTCCCAACCAGCATCAGGAGTGGCCCTCTGTGAAGGAGCACGTCGGCCCTGAGGACACGGCCTGGGGGCGCCTTCCTTCCACACTTACCCGGGCACCCGCTTTGTCCATTCCATTCGTAAACAGCCTACAACATTACCAGCAACTGACAGGTTAGACACCACAAGCTGTTTAGTGTTTACAAATCAAGCCACACATCAGGGCCAGGGGAGTCAGCTGAGTGGTTAGGAGCAGCACAGGAGGCCCAGGCCCCAAACCCTCAAGGCTTTACCTTTGGGAAGCTGGAAGCGCCCCCACCCCGCCGGCTGCCCCAGGCTAATTCCAGGCCAGGCTTCTTGAGGGCCGGGAGAGGGCTGTGGGCACACAGGCGCCGCTCCCTGTGAGGAGGCGGCGCCCGCTCTGCTGGGCACGGGGCGGCTGATGCTAGGACAGAGGCTGCCCCAGGGCACTCGCTCTGGAGAGCTGCCATCCTCTGAGCCAATATCACACTGGCTTTAAAAGGGTCCAATATCCGCTCCTCTGCCCACCTTCCTTGGACCAGCTTCAGCAAAGCTCTAAGGCAATCCGACCCCACACAGCAGGTGGCAGAACCCCAGCCTGTCTGAACCGAGGCTGCACTTAACGTCTGGATCCAGTGTGGTAAAACCCCCCCACCAAGCAATCCAAAGAGACCCTCGAAGGCCGGAGGTAAGAACCTCTGAGGCCCAGAGTGCTCCAGTGGCACCTAGGTGGGCAGAGGCCCTGAGGGAGGCACCCGCTGCCGCTCAAGGCAGCACAGTGCTCAGGTGACTGAGCCACTTCCAGGAAGGCCTCCAAGGGACTGGGTACAAAAAAGAGGGGGCTTCTGTTTTTATTTTAAATAAACAGAAAACAAAACTTAATAAACAACAAAGAAGCAGGAGAATGAGGCGAAGCACAGGGCACCGGTGCAGAGCGGAGGCAGCGCGGTACTTACTAGGGTAACAGGTACTCTCTAGCGCATCCGTCTCCTGCTTGTGACGCAGCCACAGGAAGAAAAAAGCACAAGGAGAGAATCTATGCATTCAGTCACAGCCATCAGGTTACAGAAGAAGAAAGGCAGGGCCATGGGCTTCACGAGAGACACGGATGTACGAGACCGAGGGACAGACACCCGGGATCACACACCACAGACACACGGTGGCTGAGAGGCAGCCGGCGTGTGGCTCACACAGCGGAGAGCAACTCCGGAGGTGGCATCTGCATGACAACACGGCACAAGGAGTGGGCGAGCAATGGGCAACGCAGACACCAGCAACCACGGTGGGTTCCGACCCCCGAGGCCAGCCTTCCTACTTGGTCACAGCTCACATACAAATCTGTTTTGCCTGGAGTAACCCAGGACAGAACCAATACAGGAGAAAAGAAGTGTCACATCTTGGCGTTGATGCAAGCACACACTTCTCTGTTGGTGTTAACACAACTCCCGCCACATTCCGCCACAGCGCGCACGAGCCGTGCACCCTCCCACAGTGGCGGCCACTGCCACCCAGAGCTCACCTTCCTCCAGCTTGATGGGAGTGCTGGGAGGTGGGTGGGGGACCGCAGGCTGGTCTGGAGGACTCTTTTCTTTCTGTTCTCTAGCCTCGTCCAGATTCTCTGCAGAGAAACAACAAGGATATGGTAGGAGCTGTGGACGCCATGAGCCTGCACCTGCCTCCGTGGCAGATGGGGCAGCCTGCTCGGCCGCCCTCTGAGAAGGCAGGGCTCTCAACCCTTTCCCTGTTCCTCTCCGAGAGCGGATAAAGGAAGCTGTGACCCGGGTGTTGACTGATGTGAATTTCAGAGAAACATAAACAACTTCAGATACAAAATTCATTTCTATTCTTATTCCAAAGAGAATCTGCCAGAGCTGGCTCTGTGATGGACTCAAATGGTGTGCCCTGGCCTGTCCCCCGCTGTCCTGTGCGAGTAGGCGGCCCCTCCCTCCCAACCTTCTCCCTGCTAAGCAGGTGGCGGAGGGTCCTGAGCCCACTCACCACCTCAAGGGACATCCCATGAGCAATTATTTTGGTTTTAATTCTGTGGTAGGGCATTTTATCCCAATAATTTAAACTTGGCAACTGTAATGCATATTTTTATTTTATAAAGTGAAAAATGCTAATAAGAACCAGAGGAAAAAATGCAGGAACTAGCATCCTGGATATAGAAAAGGATTCCAAGTCTACTTCTCGTTTGAGGGAAAATACGGATCAACACTACGCTAATTCCTTCCATGTCTGTCTTTATTTCAGAAGTTTAGATTAATAGCTTTGAATCAGCAGATCTGTATTTTGAACAAGCAGCTGTCATTACCCTTCGGGCTCCCAGGGCCTCTGCTCCCACCCTAACAGCTGGCTCACCTCCCCAAGTACCATGTTGGCAGCTACCTTCCAGAAGCCAGGCGCCCATAAAAAGGCCGCCACACCACCTATCTGAGTGACCATACAGCCTCAACCAGGAAAAGGTGCTGACCTCCGGCAGCCAGCCTGCATTTTACCTGTGGCACACACTCCCCTCAGCCCACGCCAAGGGCCAGATCAGACCTCCTGTGGGTTCTCCTGCTAACAGCTCTGTGATCACAGAGCATGGCCAGAGCCGTCCCCATCCATACTCAGCTGCCATCACAGCCCTGCTGAAGGAGCCTCACACCGGGGGGTGGGGGGAACTCCAGGTATCTTGTTTGACTGAAAAACAATCCAGGTTACTCAGATGCCAGGAGACCCCAAAGGGCAGACACATCTCTGTGTACATGTGCACAGAAACTAGGATTAGGCCACATGACCCACAGCTCAAGCCGACTACCTCTACTTCTTGCTCTAAGGCAGGTAATTACAGCAATGGCTCAAAGCTTCACTGGAGGGAGACAACCAGCAGCAGGGCCCGGTGTGTGTGAAGGCCTGAACAGTAAATAGCGGTGTAACACTGAAAAACAATTCAGCAACTCAAATTTCAGTAACAACTACGTAATGCAGTGGCTGGTCTAGAAGAAGACAAAAACCGGTTAAGAGGTCCTCTTAGGAGGAGTGCCTAGTTCCCAGGATGACTACAGCCCAGGAGGGCAACAGTCAGTCCCACACACCGAGGTCGCTCCAGCAAGGCCGACCCCAGAGGACTGAGAAGCACACTGAGGTTTCGGTAAAAACCTGAGTTGAAGCTAATGGCCCTGAGGATGCTGGCGGGGGCCCCGTGCCCCTGGTTCTTCCTGGTGCCAGCACCAAGGTTGCTTAGAGCCTACTGGACAAGAGAGCTGGCAGCAGGGAGCTTGGAGGAAAAGCAGCTGATCCCCACGAGCCCTCAAGGAAGAGGCATTGGAGACCTGCTTCTCTCATTAGTTCTCAACATTTTCTTTTCATGACCTGCTCCATGAGGGTCTGAAACGAGCCGCTTATTTTTATTCATTGTAAGACTGCCCCATCTTTGACTGCCTTTGTCAGTGAGCTACCAAGAGAAGTGCAGGCTGCACCAGCCACTCCTGACGGGACCTGGGCACATGCCAGGGCAGTCAGCACGTTCACCCTCAGGCCTGTGACCACACCTGCACAGAAGACCCTCAAGGTTTATGGAGAAAGAGAATTTCTGTCAGAAACCCCAAGCCCTACACACAAGCACCGCAAGGACATTCAGAGCATCCCCCTGCACAGAGGCCGGGGCCGACTGCTGTGATCAAAGACTCAGTGAGGAAAGCAATGCGCTTTTGTCCAGATCAGGGCTCAGCCATGCACAGCCTCGTTCTTGGCAGCCGCCCTGTCTGAGCCCCTATTCCTCTGCTCGAACTGGGGGAAAATGACCAATCTCGCAGGGTTACTTTGGGAATGAGAGGAGATGTACGCACGACAGCACTGGGCATGTGCCCAGCACGATGGCTCAGCAATGATGAGTGTTAAGAATCAAACCAAGTAAAGGAGGTCTCTCCCCAGTGACGCTTCAACAGACAGAAATACCATGTTCGTAAAAGAGACAAACGTCGGGGTGACTGTCAACATGGCCAAAGGAACAGCTCCGGTCTGCAGCTCCCAGCGAGATCAACCCAGAAGGTGGGTGATTTCTGCACTACCAACTGAGGTACCTGGCTCATCTCACTGGGACTAGACCATGGGTGCAGCCCACGGAGGGCGAGCCGAAGCAGGGTAGGGTGTTGCTCACCCAGGAAGTGCAAGGAGTTAGGGAACTCCCTCCTGTAGCCAAGGAAAGCCGTGAGGGACTGTGCCTTGAGAAATGGTGCATTCCGGCTCAGATACTATGCTTTTCCCACAGTCTTCACAATCCACAGACCAGGAAATTCCCTTGGCTGCCTACGCCACCAGGGCCCTGGGTTTCAAGCACAAAACTGGTCACCCATTTGGGCAGACGCTGAGCTAGCTGCAGGAGTTCTTTTTTAATACCCCAGTGGCGCCTGGAATGCCAGCAAGACAGAACCCTTCACTCCCCTGGAAAGGGGGCTGAAGTCAGGGAGCCAAGTAGTCTTGCTCAGCAGATCCCACCCCCATGGAGCCCAGCAAGCTAAGATCCACTGTCTTGAAATTCTTGCTGCCAGCACAGCAGTCTGAAGTCCACTTGGGATGCTGGAGCTTGGTGGGGGGAGGGGCGTCCACCATTACTGAGGCTTGAGTAGGCCATTTTCCCCTCACAGTGTAAACAAAGCTGCCAGGAAATCTGAACTGGGCGGAGCCCACCGCAGCTCCTCAAAGCCACTATAGCCAGACTGCCTCTCTAGATTCCTCCTCTCTGGGCAGGCCAACTCTGAAAGAAAGGCAGCAGCCCCAGTCAGGGGCTTATAGATAAAACTCCCATCTCCCTGGGACAGAGCACCTGGGGGAAGGGGCAGCTGTGGACACAGCTTCAGCAGAGTTAAGTTACTACCTGCTGGCTCTGAAGAGAACAGCGGATCTCCCAGCACAGTGCTCAAGCTCTGCTAAGGGAGAGACACTGCCTCCTCAGGAGACACCTCCCAGCAGGGGTCGACAGACACCACCTCATACAGAAGAGCTCCGGCTGGCATCTGGCAGGTGCCCCTCTGGGACGAAGCTTCCAGAAGAAGGGAGAGGCAGCAATCTTTGCTGTTCTGTAGCCTCTGCTGGTGATACCCAGGCAAACAGGGTCTGGAGTGCACCTCCAGCAAACTCCAGCAGACCTGCAGCAGAAGGGACTGATAGAAAGAAAACTAACAGAAAGGAATAGCATCAACATCAACAAAAAGGACGTTCACACGAAAACGCCATCTGAAGGTCACCAACATCAAAGATCAAACGTAGATAAATCCACAAAGATGAGGAAAAACCAGCGCAAAAAGGCTGAAAATTTCAAAAACCAGAACGCCTCTTCTCCTCCAAAGGATCACAACTCCTCGCCAGCAAGGGAACAAAACTGGACAGAGAATGAGTTTGATGAATTGACGGAAGTAGGCTCCAGAAGGTGGGTAATAACAAACTCCTCCGAGCTAAAGGGGCATGTTCTAACCCAATGCAAGGACGCTAAGAACCTTGAAAAAAGGTTAGAGGAATTGCTAAGTAGAATAACACTTTAGAGAAGAACATAAATGACCTGATGGAGCTGAAAAACACAGCATGAGAACTTCATGAAGCATACACAAGTAGTAATAGCTGAATAAATCAAGCAGAAGAAAGGATATCAGAGATTGAAGATCAACTTAATGAATAAAGTGTAAAGACAAGATTAAAGAAAAAAGAATGAAAAGAAATGAACAAAGCCTCCAAGAAATATAGGACTATGTGAAAAGACCAAAGCTACGTTTGATTGGTGTGCCTGAAAATGACAGGCAGAATGGAACCAAGTTGGAAAACACTCTTCAGGATATTATCCAGGAGAACTTCCCCAACCTAGCAAGATAGGCCAACATTCAAATTCAGGAAACAGGGAGACAACCACAAAGATACTCTTCAAGAAGAGCAACCCCAAGACACATAATCATCAGATTCACCCAAGGTTGAAATGAAGGAAAAAATTTTAAGGGCAGTCAGAGAGAAAGGTCGGGTTGCCCACAAAGGGAAGCCCATCAGACTAACAGCAGATCTCTCTGCAGAAACCCTACAAGCCAGAAGAGAGTGGGGGCCAATATTCAACATTCTTAAAAGAATTTTCAACCCAGAATCTGATATCCAGCCAAACTAAGCTTCATAAGTGAAGGAGAAATAAACTCCTTTACAGACAAGCAAATGCTGAGAGATTTTGTCACCATCAGGCCTGCCTTACAAGAGCTCCTGAAGCAAGCACTAAATATGGAAAGCAAAAACCGGTTCCACCCACTGCAAAAGTATACTAAATTGTAAAGACCATAAAGTATACTAAATTGTAAAGACCATCAACACTATGAAGAAACTGCATCAACTAATGGGCAAAATAACCAGCTAGCATCATAATGACAGGATCAAATTCACACATAACAATATTAACCTTAATATGTGAACGGGCTAAATGCCCCAATTAAAAGACACAGACTGGCAAATTGGATAGTCAAGACCCATCAGTGTGCTGTATTCAGGAGACCCGTCTCACATGTGAAGACACACACAGGCTCAAAATAAAGGGACAGAAGAATATTTACTAAGCAAAAGGAAAGCAAAAAAAAAAAAAAAGTTGCAATTCTAGTCTCTAATAAA